TACACACACACCAACACACACATACAAAAGCAGTTAGACGAGTGTGTCCGTAGAAAGGAACCTTGAGGTTGCGGCACGGATCCATAGAACCGGAAGTACCGCGATGCGAAGCAGATATTTTGTTGCGTGTGACAGAGTAAAAGTCAATTGTTCCGATTATGTCAAGAAGAAACCCCTGCATCACTATAACATACCTCTAGAACGATTCATAGTTTAATTAGCCTTCGGGTTATCGATCGAAGATCGACGGTTCGATCGATATTTTTCAAGACAACGAGACTCACGGAACCTTGGGTAGAAAACTGGAAAGAAATGCGTTTGGGAAAAAAAGATTTCGATGCTTGGTAATCCGAGGGTTAAGACTGATTCAGCAAAGCACGCTGTAAGAAAGCCAGATCGTTTGTAATTACGATTACTATCGAATTTGTTTTTAATAAACGGCAGGTGCCATGATTACAAGTTTGTCGAGTGCCGTTTGACGTGAGTATACTGTTTCTTCTTTCTTTTTCCATGACAGTTTGTCTAGAACAGCATGGATCTCTTGATCGTTTTAATGATTGTTACCGTTGTTCATTGTAGGTTTCCTAATGACGCGAAGATCGATAGTATCGCAACGGGCGTATCGATGAAATCTCCTAGAGAACGGTTATTGTAAGGTGGCCAAAATACGGGCACAGTTCTCTTCCGTGGCCAAGCATTGTCCAAAGGCTTCGAGGAGCAACGGTTCCTCCGTCACAGCCACCTTGTAGTCCTGAAATGAAATCTTTCCGTCACGATCCACATCCAGTTTCTTCAACGCTAATTCCGACAAATCTCTGACCGCTTCGTCCGGATCTTCCTCTCCTGGCTGTTTCATCAAGCAGTTTCTGCAGGCGCAAAGCGATAAATCTATAAGAACGAATCGTGGGTAAGAGAATTGGTATTGGAGAGTTTCGCGTTTACTTGAACAGTAGAAAGATTTCGTCCTTTGTGATGAAACCGTCGTTGTTCAGGTCGTAAACCTTAAAACAAAATTCAATCTTCTCCCGTAGACTGCCGCGAAGGTAGAGATCCAGACCCATGATCCACGGTTCCAGTCTGACGATTCCTTCGTTTTCCCGATCCCAACAACAAAATATACGTTCCACCAGCGCATCTTCCGTGATCACTTTGAACATGTTATGGAGCGAGTCCCGAAACACGGGTCTGTCGATACCCTGAAAAAAATAATCACCGTAGTTTCTCTCATCGGTAAGTCTACACGAAAAATTCAACGGATTGCTGGTTAGAAACTGACGCGATAAAGATATCATTGAATCGGTGATATCTCGGCGACCGTGAGAAAGTTATGCGGGTTGCATGTTTGGTCGCGAACTGAAAATGACAGGATCACGCACGCGGCTTAAAATTCCTATGATTCAAAGTGTCACTATGTACCTGTAAGGCTAAGGTTTGACTCGATTGCTGCTGCCTTCTACCGATAACGAACGGTTGCCCTACTTGTTGCTGTCCAGAACTGGTTAACGTTTTGTAAAGCTTGCACAGATTCTCCAACTCCAGCCTGTGGTAATTGAACGACGCTTAGACAATATGTACCATATGTATATATGTAATGTCGCGGGAGTTATAAAAAAAGAAAAAAAAAACTCAGGGCTTAGTAGTTAAACAGATATCGATGCGGTGAAATATCATAGAAATCGCACGGGCGGTATGTGGACGATCGATAACTGACTGTCTATCGGAAGGATTGAAGGTTTAACGGGTTTACTTGCCAGGAAAATCTGGTTTTCTTCCTGAGCGATTCGATTAGCTTGATGGTGTGCGTGGAATTCCTGGTCTGTCCACCGTCCGGCATTTTTCCGCGATGCCTTATTCGTGGCTCGTGCTTCGGATTGCCGGAAGTTACTCTTTTCGAGGTCACGGATGCTTTGCGGCCGCTCATCAAAAAAATAGAAACGCTTTTCATGAGAGTAGCGCCCGCGCGAAGGTTCGTCGCGACGCTCCTACCTTCGGCGCCGACGCCGACGCCGAAGCCGAGGCCGACCACGGTCCCACGATCTGTTCGAGGAGGCATCGCGTTCGAAAATACGCTGCGCTCTTCGGACATCTCTGTGAAAATTGCAAGCTCGCGTGAGTCAACCGCTTACTTATTATTTCAAGCTACATTTCTCCGTATACATATGTATGTATCTATGTACACGTATCGTCTATAGTCCCATATTATTATGGATCGTTGCCGGTTCATTCTACGTTACGTTAACTTAGTATTCATTATTCATTTCTGACGGAAACTTTGTTATCCGGAGTGCACTATTTGGGGTGCACCGAAACGAATTTCTTTCAGCAATTAATTCGTAAAAAAGGAAATTCCGGTCGTTAGACATTTTTCATGCTCTTCTAATTATAGCGGACTCACGCAAAGGCAGATTGATCGCGTTAAGACGATAGAAGCTATGGTTACGGATCGATTGATCAATAGCACGAAACGATTCATCCCGTTCGGTTTAAAAGTGAAATTCTTTGCTTCTTGCCGTTCGATCACGGCTTCGAACGACCGGCCAATGAATAGAAATTGCACGGCGATACCAGAAATTGCAAAATCCATTCGGAGATCATTTTGTGTGTAACTGGAAAATTGCTATGGAAATTTCGCGAAGAACAGACCCTAAACGGATTGCTTTTACATAATGCATTTGAGCAGCTCCACCCGTCCCGAGTGAAACTAGATCGGTGCGTGTCAGGAACCAGTTATCCGTGAGATATGAAATATGAAAAGTTCTTCGGCAAGTCGGAAATTATTGTCGCTGTATCCGTGAAACGATAGTTCGCGTTTCGAGTAGTTCTCGTCTCGTAAAGTTTATCGCATCGTGCTTGGTACTGCAGTCGAAAAGTAATTTTCGTCAAGAATGATTGTGTTTTGGTGACACTGGTGTGGGACTAATAATTACTGAGACTCAATCTTGATCAACGTTGTAAACGCGGTTTTTTCGAAATATAAAAATAAGCCTGTTTGGAATAATGTTTGCCGCCGCTCTGGCTATAAAGTTTCGTGTGTAAATACCGGCATGATGTATCATGCGTGGTAAAAAACAAGCTTCTTTAACAGGTGGCGCCATCCGTGGTAAAAAAGCCCTCGTACTGACCGAAAAATAGTTGGCGCCGAATATTACATAGTGTTTCTTAAAATAATTCATATCTTAAAAAATTGCTCCGAATTTGCTCTCTCGGAATCTACAGTTACTCCAATCGCACAGTTTGTATCGGTCTCAAACTGGTAGACAAATCATACCGACAGGTGAACTTGAAATTTTAACTGCCTCCACATACATATGCACATATGTAAGAATGTTGAATTCAGGAGTTCCATTCGACTCAATTCAGGCTCAGCTAGTCAAATTTCTACAAAATTGCCAAATCCAAGATTTCTGTATTTCTTACTGTTGTATTTATAATATCTATCCGATGTGTCATACATTTTGGCGTCATTGTGAAATTGGCGGGAAATATTTATCACAGATGGCGCGCATGAAAGCATGAAAGATTTAAAAACATCGGGAAGAAGACCGCAAAAGTACCATGAGACATCGTACAAGTGCTCTCTGTCTAAGAGAACGAATTGGAACAATTGGTTTTTTGACAATGGAACAAGGCATGTATATACGCAGTTCGATGTCGTTATGAATCGTACACACAGATATACATATGTACTGGAGTCTGAGTTTGGGAAAATTGGTGAGCCAGGATACACAAAACATATGACTCTAAAATTGTTTACAGCCACACGGGAGTCCTGTGAAATTTAACATCGTCCTCGGTGTCTGTTCATCCGTTTTTTTTTTCACCCATAACAAACGTTCAGTCAGGAAGTAAATACGGTGGTGACTACCTATTCCGTTTCATTGAAATAGAAATTGGAGTGGGAAAAAGGGACCTACCCTAATTCATTGACCGATCGCGACCTGCCAGAGATAAAGAGAAGAGTCATTCGTCTCGTGGATACCGGAGTGATAAGACGCGAAGTGAACTGTCGATCGTGTTAAAGTACGTGACCTTTATCTTTCATTTCTAATTATTAGTCGGCTTCACACGAACGTTCTTGTTGTCGACGATTAGTGTACCACATGCCGCGGTGTGCATGGTGTGCATGTCCAAACTGTTGGTGTGAATGTAATTTCTATCTCGAGGCAAATTGAAATTCTACGCCCGCAAGAGTGGCGTGTGAAAGTGTTCCGTTCATTCGTCGACGTTTGAGTGTACGTGTAAAGTTTATAATATACAAAATATATTGTACAATTTAGTGCAAACAATCGTAAATTAATTCGATATTGCGGGACAAAAGTGACACACGATCTTCGTCACTTTTGTTCTCCCCCCAGATACCAGTTACAATATTCACGCAGTTTTTGTTCAATTCACAATCTTTGGCGATACTCCGCAAATCAATAATTGTTTAGTTGTGATTCAAACGTTGTTAATTTAGCGTAATTACCCGGAATCAATGTTTATTTTCTGTGCAGTGTTCTGTGTCTGGAAAGAACGCGCTACTGACACCATGACAGCTAACTTCCTACAGTTTGGTGGGTAATTGCATGGTGAAATGTGGTAACTTGGTACAACAAGTAAGTGGCACATCACTATATACTTTAATTTTATTGTGTATTTATTTATTCACATACGTAATATAAACGAAATTTGTCCGACCCTTATCCGAGTAGTCTATTTATCTAACGTAGACGAGCATTCGGAATGTGAGTTCATTGGACTAATAGTATGCATAATAAATATAAAATATTAATGGGGCTTTAGAGCCCCAGAAAGTCTGGTCGCGAAAGTATTTTCGATGTTATGTAGATAGGTCTATTCTTGTACAATGTATATACACTCGTCTATGACTGCCATCCAGCAGGAAGAAGGAAGAACCAATTGTCTAGTAGTTTGAGTATTTTGCCACGGATGGCGTTACCCGTCGAAAGAAATTTTATGGGCAGACCGGCACAAAAATGATTAGAAACAGCATTACTTTCATATTTGAACCGCATTTACAACATTATATAATATTGCTTTTTCTTCGCCAATTGCAGCATTTGAAAATTCGCAATTGATTGCTAATGGACTGTCGATGAATCGATTTTTTTAATGAATTCTCGTGAAGCTTTCTTTTCTCTCAGCTTTTAAATTTATAATTTACAGTTCAAGACACGGCACACGTATCACGGTACGCGTGTCCTCTCCATCACTGGATTCTATTACTGTGTACTCGCAGCGAGTCGGAAATGACTCTGATATCGCCCACGGAGGGTTAAAGAGCAACAGTTCTCATAGAACTAACTCGTGTTAGAATAGCGAATGCAACAACAGCCTTCAAATTTTCGATTTACCTCCCCGCGAAATTCACGCACATGCGATTAAATAGATCACATGAGTGCTTTGAACATGCAATCACGAAACGATGTAGTATTCCAAATACGACCACGATCTGCACAGCCCTTTTCTCCATGTATTACCTGCACAGCCCTTCGACGTAAGGTGAAAATAGTTTAAACGAACTCAAGAACAATGTTTCACGTTGTAGGGGAAATTACTGACTAATGGATTTGCATGTCTTTTATTCAGAAAATGCAACTGTTGGGCAGCACTCGTGTAAATTCCTAGGCCGTAATGCGAACCGATTGATCGCAGAGAATTTATGTCGTTTCGATCCTATCCGCGATATTTAATTGTTTAAATTATCTATTAATGACATTAATAATAAACTTACCGTTTAGCAAGTAGCAAACGCGACACGCCTGTTTCTTTCTCGTCGTCAATAGTTACGGCTTGTGACTTACAGGATAGTATCGATCAAACATTCTAGTCGATTGAACAACGGTTTAAATATCTTGTTTGCCCATGCCTTACCGTATGGCATTCTTCTTTTTAAGTTCGTCCAACTTTCAGATTTTATTTTATTCCGAAGTCGTGAAACAACCCTAGACCCATACTGTGGACGATATTCCGCGTGTAACAAACAGTTCGATGCTGTTTAAGGTTTAAGGAATTAACGCCATCTATTTTGTTTGTGCTGTGTGTACGGTTAAATACGATAAATTGCATTTATTGTAAGATACATCGTCGTGACGATCTTAGTAATAATTGCATCGATAAGTGCATTATACGGGTGCATTTAACAGTGATTTTAAAGCATCGAAATCTTGTTCGGTTGATTCGCCGATTGACTTTTCCCAGACTTGACGACTTCCGGTTGAAGTGGTGTTTTGGAACGATGTTTTCTAGAAAATACATATTTCAGATGCGGCTCTTCGATTTAAAGTTACCGAGGCAGTTTCGCGCAGTCTATTTCGCTCTGATTACCTGCAAAGCTTCTCGTAGACATTCCGAATGTAAAGTGCGTGATTTTCGATCCCCAACAGTAGTTTATCGAGGTTATACTGTTTATCAATGTTCTTCGTCAATTTCTGTTCGAAATCGTTCGTCGAATCGGTGCGGGAGAATGACAATGATTTGGAATTGTACTCGTATCCTACAGAAACACGTACAGTCTAATGAAAGTTATCGGATGACAGCTGTTGAAATCTATCGAACATACTGCATCCTATCTAACGCAGAAAAGTCAATCGGGAAAGAGCGAGCGTAGAACACTGCACGAAAATATATTCGTGCAAGTAGGAATTAATGCGTGTTCTATACATATTTATACATATAAGATATACGCGAGAAGACAGGGTGTACCGGCGGACTTTGTTCGCTTCTGAGCATCCTGGACATCCGAGTAATATCTGTCCGTCCCTTTTGTCGAAGCGAGAACATTCCTCGAACCGTTGATGATGCCTTTCGTCGGTGATTTAATAATGGATGTTTGTGACGCAGTCGTGTCTGTCGTCTCATCAACTGCTAGGTTAACATTTTTCGGCACGATATTTCCGTCTCGGGACAACTCTGTCGAGGTAGCTTTCAAATGCTTGGACAGATCCGACTGAAATAGAAAATTGGTCAGCTTACGTACCTACGCGGTATCTTTTTGTCGTCGTGTTGTCGCATCGTTTAGAATTTTGGACTATTACTGTGGATAATTTACTGGCCTCGCGGTGGATCGAATCGGTCAGCCCGGTGACATCCGTCAAGAATTCTTCAGCGTATCTCTGATTTTCGGTTGTCTCCTCGTTCATGATATTTTTCGCGCGAAAGTCTTCGTTCCCGGGGACGAAATCAACGTCGGCGATTCTGTGAACTCGAGCGCTACGCTGTTCACCCGAGTCCGAGTCTGTTTGCTTCTCTTCGCGATCAAAACAATCGAGATAAAGAACAAGTATTTTTTGTGCGCGTAGGATCTAGAGCTAATCGCCACATTACCTCTCGATTCCGATCTGACGAGAATACCGCAGTAAACCTAAAGACAGGAAAATCGTAACGATAACTACAGTATCGTTCGTACAGAATTGTTCGACCGATACGAGTTTGACTCACTTGTAAAATGAATGACAGCAGTACGATCACGATGGGTTTCATTTTTCATCGATTCCCGATCAACTTTCCGCGATAGAATCGATCGACGACAAACGAGCCACGCTAACGATCGTTCTCTAACGAAACGATCGGTTTTATAGGCGCGATACGTGTATACGCGATTGCAAGGTGCCGTGGCATACTGTATTTTTCAAAACATTCGCCTCAAACATCCGGATAAGATCGACCGTACGTACGACCGTCGCATTTAAACGCGTACGAATTAATACGTATCGCGAACGGGAAACGTTTGCCTAGCTGGCATGGGTATTTATTGAATTACAACGAATCTGAATTTCTAGTGAAATCCACAGAGTCCCCAGTATCTCCTTCCCTGGTAAACGAGCATACGACGTTATCATTTGATTCTCGATCTTTGATGGTACCTATTTGAATGCAGTAATATTGTTCTTATCGTAACGACTGCAGCGAACTAGGTGGGGGGGGGGGGGGGGCGGACGAGCGATCGAAGAAAGAAAATTGATTACTATAACAAATATTTTATTGTACAGAATTAGGTACGCATTTCGGGAGTATTACAGAAATGCGAGCGATGCAACTAATTATTATTTTTGTCAGTGTGCAATCTAGCCAATCAGTTTCATCGTCCCTATGCGAACGATCTGGAACAAGAGGAAAAGCGTAATAAATCGTCGCGGTACAACTATTTCAGAACTTTGTTTGGAAACCCAGAACATCGTAAGAACTATTTACCCAATAATTGCTCTCGAGAAGAGGAAGCGCTTCCGAGCGGAGAATTTTAACCATGGTATCCTCCGTGTCCATGTTTAGGATAGTGGTTGTGGTATTGTGGGTAGCCATGATGACCGTGATCATGATGACCACCGCCACCTTGTCCTTTGTATCCGTGTCCACGATTGCGAGCTGGTTCCGGCAACGCCTCTCTAGCCATCCTCGACAATGGTGTTTCTGGAAATATCGGTACAAGCGTATACATATCGATGATAAATTTTCATCGACGTGGATGTGCGGTGGCAATATGTGGATTACGAAACGGGGGGCAGAAGGTGTAGACTATTTTGAAAGTGGAAATGAGATCGATCTTCGAAAGAAGTAGAGCCAAGAGGCAACGATTTTTTTCCAAGGCTGTGTAAAATGGAGTGCTGAGACATTCGCCAAACGATGAGTCGGAATGCTAAGAATATTTCGATTTAATAAAAACGATAACAATGCACGACTAAATGGGTGGGCGGGGACTAGAATAACGCGTGTTTAATCGATTCGACGGGGAAAGGAAATCAATAAGAAGTCTCTTAACTCGATCACACTTGGTGTGGTAGATGTCGGGCTGTTCAAATACAGAAAGAACTCGAACGTCGCGAATGCTAATTGAAATTTGCAGGTCTGGGTTTGTTAGCACAAGAATTACGAGTCGACTACCCGTAATATAGTTTTCGATCGTTCATACGGAGTTATGTACATACGTATACATATATGTATGTACGTATACGGAGGAGACCTGCTTCCCGTGGCGTCTAAACGATTCGTCTGTCAGGGGTCTGCTTTACGATCATACTATTATTTCGTTTTCGCGGACGGTTCCATAAATCTCGAGATTTAATCAACGTTCTCCCGGGTGTTCCCTGTTTTCATCGCTAATACAAGTTTTTCGCCTCTGAATATAATCCATACGTACCTTGTAGTTCGGTAGCGGGGTAGCTCAAAGCGGTAGCCAAGACCGCGACCAGAAGGAGGAATACGATCTTCGACATGTTTCTCCTGTTGGCTGACGATTTAGCAAACTTCGTTGAGAATCGAGTGTGAAATGACGACGAGGAAATCTGGAGGGCAGTATTTATATAGGAATCGCGACCGTTCCTTCCAAGCGCTCTGGGATACCCCGACGCATTTATGCAGATAAGAAACAGGTACTCTTCGCGAGGAATGATCGCATCTCATTAGCACGAACGAGAATCCACTTTAAACAAGCGACCGGTCTCCGCTTTAGATGAAATTCATCCGAATCGCGACGATAAAAAACATATACATATATATTATGTAGATGATTCGGGTATGTGTTTCGCTTGGTTTTTTTTTTTTTTGTCGTTCGAACAAACCCCTTCGATCGATCGTTCGGCTTGTTGCTTCTTCTTTGCATATTTTTCCAAAACACTTGTTCCTCTTCTTTACCAGATATCCTACTCTGTTTCTCGGAACTTGTCGTAAACGTAAACGATCATAAGTGCTGTCACGCGTACAATACTATATGTTCTTCAACTGTTTGGTAGAACCGCGTAGCGTAGCCTTGATGGACCAGCTACACGAAGGTCCCTTTAATGTTATCCGTAAAAAATGAACCGGTCACGGGTCAGTTAGCGGAATTTTGTATCTACGACAGGCGTTGATTTCCACTCTGACATTCGGGCATCCCAAACGGGATATTTCTACGTGGTTGTTTTATTTCTGTCATTTTAATGGGCTATAAAGGCGGACGACAACTCGTTTCGTGCTGTCATCGCGTATAAAAAGAAGGAACAGATTATTCTAATAAAATACGCATCGACGGGAGCTTCTTTAAACGATTAATTTTTCGCGTACAAATATACACCTATACGAATAGTAAAAGGAACCTGCTTTCGGTAAAATATCAAAAAGAATTGCCGAGACAAATTGTTTTCGGCGTTCGTCGTTTTGGTTATTCTTTATATTCTCCTTTTGGGGTTCTCCTCGGATCGAGATTAGTGTAGCACCAGGAAACTTTTAAAGGATGGAAAACAGTAGAACTCTACATATCAAAAACAGCAATTACTTCCGATGAATCGTAGGGATATATATTTTCCTGTAGGAGTATTAATGCGAGCGATGCGTCGATTATATATAGATAATATACACGTTCTCAAGGTTACAGATACGACGCAACTTCTGCAACTTCCGTGTAGTATTAGCATACATGCACTTGTGGAACGAGACCGAGCCGTGCATACATACACATATACATGTTTCATCGGAATACCTTTCCCCACCATTTCCATACGGGAGGACGGATCGCCGAAACTATGTCAATTGCGTCGTCGTAACGAAATAGTGTTCCGAGGGTCGTGAATACCGGGCAGGTAGATATGCGTGTACATACGTATGCCGTATGTTCTCGTGGAAAACGTAAAATGAACCGTGGAAGACACGGTAACTCCCGCGCAAATCGAAGGAACGACTGTGTCGTGAAATAATACCGATGATCCTTCGAATCGGTTGATTAATATCGTTACGGCTCGTCAAGAATGCACGTCTCGTTGTTTAATCGTCGTTTGTTCGGGGAAAACGTTGCTTGGGTCGTTGTTTAACGGACGTGAACGTTTTTCCGCCGTAACTATTACTTACGCACACCTACTTTGGTAAATAAGAAGATAAAATTGGAACTCGGAGCGAGAGAAAGCCAAAGGAAGATGATATACATAGAAGTTACTCTGGAAAGCGATTTATTCGAAAATTATTTATTAATAGTTGCGTACGCTGATTTTGAGAATTTAAAAGTACGCTGTACGCGGAAAATCGTACCGCAAGGAAGTAGTGCTGCAAAAGTGTCCCCGTCGAGACGATTGCAGATACGGTATCGTACGATTTGCATGCCTGAACTGTTAATTTTATCGTTTCTAATCGACGCTAGCTCGTTAAATTCATCAACTATTCATAGTCTCGTAATTGTTTGTCCACTCTACACGCTACAGTACTGGTGTAATAAGCCGCAATTAGATTTTTTTTCACTCGGCCGCGGTTCGCGACTCTGGCGAATGATATCACGCGAACCCTTTACAATCTTTCGAATCGACGCGACTCGATCGATCAGTGTTCGGCATCAGAAAATTGTAAACGTGAGTATTATTGTATACGCAGATATTGATCGAATCGAGGACTCTGAAAATTTCGATGGTAAAGGGCGAGGGTGATTCGATAGGTTAGCAGGAACACGAATTAATCGATCGACGACGTTCGGCATTCCATGAAATCGAATACGAAGCGAATCGAAACGCCTCTTGAAGTCCGTGTTCGGTTTGCTATGCGTGTTAATGCCGCGTGGAATATTGGCTCGTCGATCGACCGGCTGGAGTTTTATTCGTCGGTAGTTGGTGTACGCCTCTTCTTTCTGAACACACAACAAAAGGATTCAGCGTCGTTGCTCGTACGGGTGAAAGAAAATTGTTCCGGATCCAGGAATCCTGGACTCGTTATCGATTTGCCGACTCACCCATTGGGAGATCCTCCATAAGCGGTGGCCACTGAACTGGCGACTCCCCCCTTTCCAGTGGAGTAACTGTTCGCGATAGCGGTTACCGCTCCAGGAGGGGATCCCGAGGATCCAGATCGTGTGGATCCTCCAGGGAAACTGAACACCATCGGGAAGTAGTTGTTCAAGTTCGGATAATTCTGTCGGCGACGGTTTCCTTTAAAAGGTACGAACGGAACGGACGGCTCCTCGTCGGTCGCATCGTCCTCTTCGTCGTCGTCGTCGTCGTCGTCGTCGTCCTCGTCATCGTTGTCGTGGACAACGACCGGTGGCTTTTTTGTTTTTTTTCCCCGGTTGACCTTCGGACGCTTGGCAGCCGCCTCGGTGGTAGGGTAGACGGGTTCTTCGGTCGGAGACACCGATGCTGCCTCGGTGGTGAACGCTGACGGAGACTGTTCGGATTCGGGTTGCTCCTGTCGCGTTCAGAACGGAAAGAAAGATTTTCTTATACATACTTTTGTTTCTTTGCCCGCTATTGTCATTCGACTTTTCGTAGACACGGAACTACCGCGATAAGTACCTGAGGAGGGAAACCACTCTGTTTCCGATGATCCTGTTCCCCTTCCGCGGGATATTCGTTTTGAGGATTATGCGGCCCGTCCTGAGGATAGTGTCCTTGTTGCGGGTGATGTTCCTCGGGTTGATATCCACCTGCCGGTTGCACCCCGGTTCGGTCGTCCTCGTTATAGGAATCTTCGGGCGCGGGGGCCGCTTGAGCCTCGGCGCTGGAGATTTCCGATTGTTCGATCGGTTCGGGACCGTTGTTCAAGTGCGGCGGTGTCTGCATACCACCGAAGAAAGCCTCGCCGCTGACGGCATTGCCTTGCGCGAATACGCCCGTCGCCTGACCACCGCCGTGACTCGAACGGCGTACTGGCCTGTAGTAGCCGGTGAACATCATCGCTCTCTGGGGATACGGTCGCACCGCCGTCCTCTTTTCCCGTAGAAAGACTATGGGATTACCGTAAGGATCCAGCATCACTGAAACTTTACAAACGGATCGCGAACATCGTGACCAATCGGAAAGTTTGTTCGTATCAAAATCGATCGGGGTTAGGTCTTCTCGCGACGATTGTTCATCGCACGACCAAAACCGCGACTAACCGACATACATACATACCGGGTTCGGCTGGAATAGCCCTGGACTCCGTGACCGCGATCGTCGTCGTCGTCGTCGCAACGACGACGAGGACAAAGCTCAACCACTGCGCCATCGTCGATGATTCTCGGTGTGATTCTCAACCTGAAATGTACAATTCTCGAGGACGATGGGGATCTTCGATCGTCGAGATCTCTCGAGACACTTTTCCCGCTATGATCGTTCGTCCCGGAAGTCTAAGAGTCCTGGGATATCCAAGCACTACCACCAAAAGGTCTAGCTGGTTCGCGAACTTTTTGCACGATGCTGCTTTTCTCGAATCCGCAATTGCTTTTATACCAGAAGCTAGGATCACGCGGGGGATGGGATGGGCGAACGACGACGCATACAGGGTATGGGATAGGATCGGTTGGATCCACGCGCAGAATGGGGATACGGGATCTTCTGGATCCCCCACCATGGCTCGTCGGGTGGTTGCCTCGTACCCAACAGGAGGATCGTCGTAACGCAAACGCGCGCGCGCGCATCGATCAACGATACGTGATCGTCATCCCTGATCGGCCTGCCGTCGAATCGAACGCATTAATTGCGATCCCCGGGTCTATATCGCCATTTGAATTCGGCTGATCGAGTCGTCGCATACGTTGTAGCTTCGTAGAAGAAGACCGTAGGAAGGGTGCCACGGTTCGACGCCGCGACGCGACGGCAACGGCAACGGCTCGATGACAACGAGGAAGACCGTGTTCTTCTTCCCTCTTTCTTTATCGGATAGGAACGCGTGTAACACAACTCTATTACGAGATAACTTGAAGCTTCGTACGCGATACACGATCCGTTTGACGAAGAGTACCGCGTTGATCCACGATCACTCTGGACGTTGATAGACGACGCGGAGGAATCGTAGTTGCCAGTTTTCCTCGTTAATCGACGAAGAATCGGTAATTTTCTGAGTCATGCGAATCGACGTCCGATAAGAAGATCTAAAGCCAGAACGAGGATGGTTCATACATTTTCAATCGTTCTATAAATAAACGGGATCCATGGAACGAGCCAGAACGACGACGCTTTCCGCTGTGATTTCTTCGGCCGTGATCGTATTTTCAAGGGAATTCGCGACTTCGGCATTTCTATTCTTTCCCCGCACGGTCCCCGCGCGCGTTCCTTTTTTTCTTTCCACGAACGCAGCTTCGCGGATCGCCGTTCGATCGTTGAGTTTTTTTTTCGTAAAAATCGGCCAAGTATCGATTCGGAAGACGAAAAGAATAGATCGAAGAACAAGGAGTAGGACAGAAGAGGGCGATAGATGTCGATGGTGTGGATCATTTTCATTGATTTTCGTGGTGGTTCGAAACCGAAGACAAGAAACGAGAGGACGGGAAACGGTGACGCGACGAGGCGGATCTGTTTGGGTTTATTTGGAATTCGGAGCACGAGCGCTCACCGGCCACCGCCATTGGACTCTTGCGGACTTTTGATCATCCCCAAGAAATATCGCCGTCTTTTGACCAGTCATATCTTCGCGGACGTTCTAGCGCGTACGATCGACGTGGTATTATTAATATTAACAGATTATGTCAAACTTTAGTCGACGTTCGACCATCGAATTCATCTCCATCGATCGTCGTCTGTATTGTACGGTATACATATATGTGTGCTTAACCGCTACCGACCGCTGAATACTTCATGAATTCGTACTATTTTTTGTAATGAATCAACTTCCAAACGCACGGTTTTCCAAGTCACGCGTGTCGTATTTTCGAGCGTGACCAGCCGACGAAAACCGGCACTTCCCCCACCTACGATAGAACAAACGGCCGTTCCACTCGGATGCAGCTGGATTCGCGATGCTACGCGAAAATTCAACTTACGTGTCGGTAACTCAGCGGGATATCATTTCATTTAGACGGGGACTGCGTGTTTCTCACGGGATATTAACATAATGTTTTTTATCGAGAGAAAAAATGGAACTCGGCTGCTCGTTTTTCGGTAAAACGAATCTCTGACTATCGAGCCTCGTCGAGTATTCGAGACGTTCGGTTCGACGACCCCGTGAACCATCCTATTTTGCGGCCCGTCCTCCCCGGGCCGAGCACAGAAATCGGACGACGATTGTTTCGTTTTAACATTCACGACGCGCGCTCGTTCGACAGATCTATCGTAGCCTATAGATACGAACCCGTTCGTAGAAAATCATTGCAAGAATCCCTTTGCTCTCGAGACTAGACTCGATAGCGTATTGTCGGTACGCGATATACATGTACACCATGATATGATACTGAATATATCACCGTATTTAATATAACGTTTCGACAAGGTTTTTGCTAAAATTAAATGCCGAGAACATTAACGGATCTCCACTACACGAAACAAGTAACGCAAGGACGTCTTGTCTCGTAACGATACGAGATTCGTCTCTTTTTCCCAAAAGAGACTGTAAGAGTAAGGTTGACGATCGAGCTGCGAGACGGGGTTCGTGAAATCGGAACCACGAATATCGATGGACTATACTCGGTTATCGGCGGCGATCGTATCGAGGAGAACTCGTAAACAGTTGGCGAGTCGCCATACGTCATCCGGTGGAGGATCTCCCCCGACTATTGTAAACCCGATGATGCAAGTCCCATAATAATGGAATTCACCGGTCGTCCGTTTCTCCGTTTCCACGTCGATCTCTCAAGCCATTCGTCAAGCCTCTTCGAGGCTCCCTTTGTTTGCCCGTTGCTTTTCCGCGATTCTTCGTCCGGTTTCGACGGGTCGCTCGAGAACCTTGTAACGATTCCGATCGTCTCTGATCTTCGTCCAGGGATTTTTCGAGCGTTACCGGACGATATACCGTTTCGTACGGTTCGGTTAATCAACGATGCATCGCGGGCCTCGATTTGGGTCAGAATAGTAATGAGTGCAGCGGAAGAGTACGACGCAAATTCCCGGCATGAATATGCGGTTATCGGTATCGGCGATGACGAAGCGGAAAACGGCGAATGGCAGGAAGCTTGAAAATATTGAAATCGATTAGAATAACGGTTGCCGTACGACGAACGTACCCTCCGGTGAGACATGCGCTATGCCGTTGTATTCGAAGCATGCACCCGGGGTCTCGTGAATCATTTTCCCTAAAATTCATTCGACATGCCGAATCCCTTGGCCGCTCATAAATATACCACCCGAATGTCCGCGAAAACGAATAATTCATAAAGGGAACTGTTGCGACGACGTTTGCATGAAATTTTTTTCGAGAATTACGAAAACTGAATATAAAACTTACGCGGTTGGGGTAACTAAACGAACAGAAAAACGAAAAAAAAAGGGGTAGGTAAGGAATTTTGGTTCGTTTTCATTTAGTCATTTGCTTATTTGTCGCGAGATACCGAAACGCCGAGACGATTGCCGCGGTTCTCAGGAGGCGAGGTATGTGTGTAGTATACGTCCGTGGCTCCTGTTTTCGTGAACTGCCACGACACGGACTGAATCGAGAATCAACCGATGTCGGACTCGCACGTGCTTCGCAGCGGCATACCGACGACAATGAGACGGACACGTCCGATCGGTTACGCGCGACAACTGTCGAATCGGCAGACAACCGTATCGTTTCTGCGGTGGATTCGCTTGTTCCATTCGATGATCACGATCGAACCCGATCTTTGAACGCTCCCTCGCGAGCAATCTCCGCCATTGACATCTGAAACTCGGTCGATTTCAATTTTTCTTTCTAGAAGCGACATTTCTTAGCGCAGAGGTGCACTTTCCGAGAAGAAATTAGAGGGTCGATCGCCACGGGAAACGCGTATGCCGTTTTCCTTCCTGCTGGTTTCTTTCTGATTTTCCGATGCACCGCGCCCGGTCCGGACTCGGACCCAGATCACGGTCGACCATCTACGATTCAATAGAAATCCGTGGAGAGAGAAACAGCGAGAGACGCGCGTGGATAGGGATGTTTAATTCAGGATCGTTTCTCGGAACAATTCCGACACCGTAAATAATTTTACACCTCACGGCCTCGGGACGGATGCGGCGGATCTCCCGTAAAAATGTACGGCCTCCCGGAAAAAATCGGAACGCGACGGAAATATTTTTCCGAACCGTCGTCCGTTGCCTCGCTCCTTCCTCGACGATTTGCTTCACGCCTTGTGCCTACCTTTTCCGGTGCTGCTGCTTCCCTCTTTTTCTACTTTTTCGCGAAAACTTTCCTTCAGAAGGACGATGACTCCCGCTAGACCACCGTGTACACGCGCGCAACCGAGTCTTCCTATTTAAGACACGAATCACGAAGAGCAGCCCGGCAAGTCCGCGGGACACTTGAAATGGGTTGAAAGACCGCGTTACATCTCGTCCGTGGATTGCGTTCATTTTGCAAATTTCCAGCATAAACCACCGGGGACAGGTGTTTTTGTATCGTATACCAGTGTACTCCGTGGTGTACCTACCGTGCTAGACGCGTATCCTGTTCAGCGGCGTGGTCAACGTTGCCCCTGTTGAACGCAAACCAATTCGCAGCAATGTAATGAAATATCCCAAGCTTTAGGCGACAGAGCACGTCGCTTGGACGAGTCTTGAATCGCTTGTTGTCACCGAGTTAATCGAAATCTCAGAAATTTCAGAGATTTTTTTTTTTTTTCTTTTCTTTAATAATAACGCGTTCGCAGAAATTTCGCGCGATGCGAGACGGGGGTTCCAAACATCCCTCGATCCACTCACGTCTGTTCTACGCCACTGTGTCCTCTGATCAGCAGTCAGAGGATCGACGTCGGGTGGCCGGCTGGAATTTACCGTCCAGCCTTTCCAGGGAAGACATAAAATAGTCGCAGGTGTACCATTGGCCGACATAAACGCCCGCGCGAATATTTGCAACACCGACTACGGATTCCGCATCCCGATGCAAAACGAGATCCGTCCGGTCTGCACCTGCTCGTTTCGTTGGACGCGTTCTTGAAAATTGATCGAATGGACCCGTCGCGGCGAGAATAGGTATACCTATCGTCATACCGCTCGATCGATACGATTCGCGGACAAGTAAAGTCGTTGTTTACGAGTTTCATGGAGGCGCCGCGCCGCGTCGGTCAGACGATCGTTTGAACTTGTAGCCTTAAATCAACGTCCTCTCGGACATTGATATCAACGACAACGACGACGACAACGACGACGACAACGACGACGACAACGACGACGACGTCGAATCAAAAGTATGACGCGAAGAACACTTAGTTACGTCAACGCGGCTATAAGTCTGACCACGAATTCACCATAAAATATATGGTGCTAGCCAAAGACGGCGCGCGGAATACGGAATTTCTTCCCTCGCATGAATAAAATCTCTCGTTCGACGACAACGGAGCGTGGTGCGGCAGCGGTCCGATTGTTTTGCGAATCAGCGTGAGGGCTAGCGTGTTTCTGCCTAGCCTCGGGGACGCGAATCAAAATTCGAGATACTTCCTTCTACGGGAGTACCGTCTCTAACGTATGTACGCGACAGGAGAAATAGACATCGGTGATCCGTTTCTTTCGAGGTCGAACCGTCGAAGCGAGAAGCACGCGCTCCCCTTTCACGTTGACACGACCATAAGGGGGTGTTAAAGTCGAAGAAAAGAATCAAGGGTTGTTCGGTTATTTTGCTTGAAACACGTGTTACGTCGAACGAGACCGAAGAAAGGGGAAAGAGGTCCCGAAAGGTTTTGGACGTGCGCGTCACGTGCTATGGGCGGAGTGTCGCGGTGCGGTAGATCCACGCGGTGGTGCATCATCCATCGACGCATGAAGATCACGATGACGGCGGCTACCTTTTGAGCACGGTCTGCCATATTTCAGCCCAAACGATTTTTTCAGCTCGCTGCCGGACACGGAATGCCTGACAATTCGCCAACGTCGCTGGTCTGGAGACTTATCGCGGAATCGTGACACGCGCTGCCCATAAGGGTGCATTCGAAACGAGCATCGAATGATTTTAAATATTTTAAACGGCAGCCTCGGCGTCATCTTTACGCGTCCGGTGACTCTCGAGCCGTACACTCCGTCTTGATCCGTTCCCTAAACGGTATCCTCTCGATTCGGAGCTCGTCGTCGATCTAAAAGGTGTTCCGCGTTACGGACTATCCACGGCCGGATCTGGTTCGACAAATCGACCGTACTGTAAGGGTACGTCGCGTCGCGACGTTCGTCGAAGGATTAAATAACGTAACAAAACTGCAGGTTGCTGTGATACAGAAAATTTTTATTATCCTTTTTGGTTACAAGGCCTGGGTTCGAAAGTACGCCGAAAGAGTATGGTCGGAATGGCTGTGTGAGAATCGTGCGGTTGTCCTCGGAGTGGAATTTTCATCGTTTCCGAGATTTTAGCAAATATCTCGCGATGCCCATGTCCAGATACCTGAAATAGATTCAATATCGTTCGAACATCGTGTAAAGTGTGACAGCAATTAGCGAGTAATTGAAATTTCTACGAGAACGTTCAAGTGGAAACGACGAGAATTTTTTTTATTCATAATTGATATTCACCCCGTTCACCAATGCTTCACCGTGTTGCGCCGCCGGCTTACTTACCTTTTCGGAATTGCTGATAGTTCGCGTTTCTCCTGTTTTTTGTCCGAAGTGATCCGAGTGCCATCGCTCGAAACGAACTTGGACGCGATTACAGTTGATTTCTCAGGTGGACCGGTGGTAGCGGAAGGTATGTTTGTCAATCTTTTCCCTTGACGGTTCTCTTTGGACTTCCTTCTGACGTTTAAATCCGACGAGACTACGATTTCGTCAAACGTTTGTCCGAAAACGGCTGAAAGAAAAACAGGCGCAACAGTTTGAACGCCGGCAGAACCAAAGCTAGAAATGTTATCGCTATTGCGTGTTGGAGAATTGTTTTGATACGCCCGATGCACAAGAAAGAGACTGGTGCCCGACGGAACAACGGTGCACGCGAAATCATCAAGTTTTACGCTCTTTTTTTTAGTCAACGTCGACGAACATTCGGCGGATATACATATACTCGGACCCCACTTTCTATTTATAAATGCCACACATCTATACTATACTTACGTTTCCGATTGGATGGTTGCTGGGCATGGACAATTACGCAAGCCAGAGTGATCACCAGAAGGGCCAAAAGATTCGCCATTTTGCGAAGTACAAGATTTTTCTTCACTTTTTCATGGGCTTCGAAATTTTGGTTAACCTATGAGACGAGAAAAGAACATAGATACGATACGTTATTAATATTGATTCGTTTGGGATTCGAAGCACTTGGTATCGGTGCTGTCGGTCTCGAGTCACCACGAATGACGTACGACGTACGTCATTTAAGATCCCCTTCCCTCGAACACAGATCCACGTAGTTTCTTTCGCAACGGTTCGAACCCGGAGAACTCGACGATCGGAACGCAGAGGACGCCCATGGAGGACATCGACCGCGGGAGGTGGTGGTAACCAGCACGAATCTACGATCGGGTTCGTCTTATTCGAAGAAACACCCGAGAAATACGATCGAAGCCGGGAGTTGTGTACGCGGGGAAAAGACACAGAGAGCCGGGAAACGGAAAATATTCGAAAGAGCTCGCGCGTCGGAAAAGGATCTGGAGAACCAGCAGGAGAGATTTTCGCACGGAAGGATCAACCGAGGAGACCGAGGAATCGAACAAGTTCCACTCTCTTGATACTCGACGACTTACCGACGACTTGACCAGAAGATACTTTCCGAGTCGACAACCGCACGAGAAATGCGAGCACAATGCCGCGGAAGCCTACAAGAGAGCATCGCGGATTCGCTATAGTGCGTGGCGAAACAGGAACAAGTCGGGGGTAGGGTAAGGGTCCAGTCGGAGGCGCCTCGGCACACCGTTCAACAAACTGTAGATCGTTGCACCGGACAGACCACTTTCTATTTCATCCCCCTCCCAGTTTTCGAACGTCCGCCTCGCGTCTCGCGAACCGATCCAGCCGGGAGGACTGGTTTACCCGATCCGGTCGCGGCGGACTCGTTCGCGTTCAGGACCGGCTAAACAATGCTTAACGAGCGGGAGACGACGGACCTTTAACGAGCCCCTTTAATGCATCTCCGGTGTCACGAACGTCACTCGTTTTGGGCTACCGTGCACCCTGCGCTCCGTGTGGCATCCCTCGCGATCGTTGTTGGCCAACCATCTTTAGATCATTTTCGGGACCGCTCCTCTTACAGCCATCTCTCTAATACTCAAAGTAGTTGGCTGCGTCCACTTTATCATGGCTGGTCGAGGACTGCCTGTCGGGGAATTCCCAATTCTAATAGCTATCGATGTTGGTAGGTGTTTCAAAGGGAAAGTAATTAGGAATATTCCAACGATCTCGGAGAAACGTATTAGAACGAGATCGACAGGTACATGAAAAGATTTTCCGTGAAACATTTGGGCGCGATAGGAAACCGGTTTATGTGTAGGCTCTTGCGGAAAACTTTGAGAAAACGATCGAGAAATCGCGAAATAAAACAAGAAATCCTTTTCGAAATTTCAATCCTATTCTTACGATAAACTATATCGGGGAGAGAAGGAGGCGGGGGAGTTAAAAATCAAGGTTCTTTTGGTGGTCGTAAACGTGTATTTATTCGCAACGAAAACGAACAGGCTCCCTTCGGGAGGAGAAAGTTCCAGGCGGAATCGTGACGCGAGGAAGACGATATAGGCTCGCGGAGAAGATCGCGTGTGCAGAAATTCGCCCGGTCATTGCACGCCTCTCCGTTCGGATCCGAATTTTAGGTGTTCGTTTTTTCCAGGCCCTCCGCACTCTTTGGCCTCCCTTTGTGTTGTTGATCCTCGGGCCCTTTGCTCCTCTCTCTCACTCTCTTTCTCGTTCTCCTTCTTTGCCCTAGCACCGTCCTTGTTCCTCCCGTATGAGGGATAGAGCGTCGCGATGTTTTGTCGGTTTTATTCGCGTGAACATCTGGTGGTTGCCGTACGGACAAAGGGAACTCGATCTCAGGAACTCTCGAGAGGATGGAGGGTGTGCGGAGGCACGGCCACGTTTCTCTGCCAGGCTGTTTTATTTACTTATATCTAGTGACGTAGAATGTTTGTAAACAATGGCCGATTACTACCGTGGATCGGCCGTCGTGATCGATCGGTGGTCGATCGGTGGTCGAAATAAATTAGGGTTAGCCGATGCGGAGCGAGACCTGTGGAAAAGAAAGATCCTTTTTAAACATGTTACACTTGTAGCAATAGCAATAGCTACATACGTAGATATACGAGTTTGCTGTTCTCGTACTAAACTCTCTCCTACGATCGCTCGAATCCTTCGACCCTGCATCCCGCGTTATCTCGCGGTCTAGCTTCGCGATTAAATGTACGCAAGTTCACGCAGACATCCTTGTCTTTTGGATTCCGGAGGGTTCACCGTAAAATTTCACTTTAATATCTATCCTTTGTTGACTCTGTGTGACCATACGTGTAATAATACGCCGTGTTTAACGGAGGCCGCGCGCGCGCGCTTTAAGAGCAGTCGGAGTTTGTTTTGTTAAATGCAAAAACAGGACTCGGTGCTTTCACGGAGCGTAATCTGAAATCTACATTCTCCCGGCTTTGGTTCTGCGCACGAATAAGCGTACACAACGTGGATCCACTCGTGACCTTTGACCTTTTCAAGATGACCCTTCGAAAGGGAGATTCTCGGCGATTTACATACTGGATTCGAACAGCACCGGCGTGCGTGTATTGACCATCGTAACGCGCGTGTATACTCGGTCGGCCGCGGGAACGGACGCCGACGTCAGTCGACGCCGAGAAAAGCGAGATCGAACGAGAAACGTGTTTCTATCGAAATTTCAATGAAAATTTCGTCTCGAATTCGGTCTGTGTGTCGGTCTGATAAACTTTAATCTACCGGGCGAACGTACTCGAAAGAAAGTTCGTGGACCGCGCGTGTAGCGTAGGTGTGTTTTTCGGAATGAAAACAGACCGGTTTTCTTCGGCGTACAGAGCCCCAGAAGCGCGTTACTCGATTATGCACGAGTATATGTACATACCGGGGGCCACCGACAATATGGCGTCCGGTCCCTTTAAAACGAGTTAATCCGTCCGTCTGGCCGTCTGCCGATCGCCTGAGAACCAAGAAGATTCATTTTCCCTTTGTCCATTCTTTTTCACACCGTACCAAAAGGAGCACGGTTCAATAGGACAATGCCGGGCAACGCGCGTTTACGACGCGACGTTTCTTCTTTCGTACACAGGTACCACACATGCGTATGCGAACGCGCGTATTTGAATACATAATCGACGCGCGTAGGCAAGCGAGAGCAGCCTGTCTTTCTTTGTGCGTCGGTCGTATGGACCACTGCTTCGTTCGTGCTTACACGACCACGGCCGTCCAAGGAAGGGGATAACCGAGGAAAGAGGGAAAGAGACGTCAAAGCCACTCGAGTGAAAAGTGACATACGCGAAGATTGTTGCATCTCTTGCAATCGAGATAGACCGGGAGCCCCCGGTGGACAGATGTTCCACTCGTTTCTTACTTACGATCTCCCGGTGACACGAGAGGTGAACACCTTTAACTCGTAGGGTTCGTTAACCTTTCCCCGGACGATCTCTTCAAGGTTCTTGGTTGTTTCGTAATCTTCTACTACGAAGCACAGGGATTTCCTATGAATTGTTACCGGTACGCGATCCAACGCCAAGAAAACACGATCGTTTCGCGGAGAACGGAACGGAACGGAACGGAACGGAACGGAACGGAACGGAACGGAACGGAACGGAACGGAACGGCGCATCAGGATTGCATGGACCGTTGTTCGTTTCGACCAGCCGATGGACAGATGTTCGCTTTATACGCGATCTCCTCGCTCGAAACGAGGCGAACGCGCGTATCTTGCAATAATACGTGCAAATCTGTAATGGACAAAGTTCGTTAACCCCACGCGCGCGGATTTGCGGCTCGTACCGGGCGAAATAGAGGGGAAGCCCCGAAATCTTTTCGACCAATAGAGCGGTAAACAGCAGGTGCGTTCGAGCGGTCTGCCGTTTCGAATTATTCGAAACAAACGCTTGCGCTGCGATCGAAATGCCTGGGATCTTTTATTTGTCCACGAAACAGATTTTCGCACAGCATTGCCAGTTATTCGCGAGAACACGAACCGTCCGACAAGATTTTTCACGCTAATAAACTATGCTCTCGCGAGGGACGGAAAACAGATCGAACTCGTGCGATTGATAAAAACGCTAATTGGCAAACATTCTCGATGCGTTGACAGAAGCACCGCGCATGTCTCGAGTATTTCGCACCTAGAGGAATTCGAGGAAGGAGAACGGATTCTCATTCGAGGCGAATCGATTCGTCCTGAATATATGTATATGTATATATATATGAAATTTCTCTATTTCTCGGCCACATCTAGACGATAAACACTCTCACCTATAAAGTTTCAAAACCTTTGGCCGCCCGACGAGGCTTCCGCTACACTGAACGACGCGGAATACGGGCCAAAGTTGAAGCTGGCGCTCTGTGCGTTTGCCTGACTCTCTCCACCTCCGCCGAAAGGTCCGTTCGATCCGGCTGCTCCTGCGGAGGCTGAAGCCTGAGATCCTCCGGAAGATCCTCCGTAAGGTCCGCCGTAAGGTCCACCGTTAAAACCGCCGGAACTCGCCGAAGCCTGAGCGGCAGATTCGCCACCGCCACCGCCGATAGGTGGATAGTATCCCGATGCAGGCCCGAATCTGAAACGTTTATTTTCCTCACAATCAGCTGTCGCGTAAACTTCCAACAATCGACTCTGCGGTCGATTCTAACGAAATATTTTCCCGAGACACGAAAGACACGTACCCTTCTCCGCAACCGAATTCGCCGCAGCCTTCGGGTCTGTGATGATGCTTATGATGGTGCTTGTGATGATACCCGTAACTGCGGTCGTCGTCGAATTCTGGAAAAGGACCGAAACCTTCGCCGGGGAATCCGAATTGCGGTGATCGTTGCTCCCTCTTCGAGTCTGCGAATCGATTCGTGCAAGCGGGGATAATACGTGAGCATTAATCGAGCAAACGATAATTAAATGAAATTTTCATAAACACCGACCAGTTTCCACGGCCGCGATCAATTGTTCCTGGAACGGATTCAACGACGGTGAACCATTCGAGAGCACTTTCGTCGCCGGCTTCGCAGGACACGCCACGAACAGAACAGAGCACAGCAAAGCGATCGACAGGAATCGCGACATCATCTCGCCACGAGATTCTCTCGGAAACGTTCGAGCGTAGAGACGAAAACGCAAATCGAATAAATTGGACGGTCCACGGTGCTTTTATACGTCGAGGTCCCTTCACCGTCGAAATCGGAGGAAGACACCCACCCGTGGGCTCCGTTGGTTCCGCCACTTCCGAACGTCCGGCGATCGACGATACACATTTGTCATTGGCTCCTAACGAGTGGACGACCTTACGGTCCAGGGACGATCGAAAGTGGACACGGTAAGAAAGCCTGTACGGCTAAGTCTAAGGACGCTAATCAGAATGTGAATTTCGTTACTGGGCACCTCTTCGCTTCGGGGAATCGCGTGGTCAAGGAAAACAGAGAGTAAAAAAACGTGTACGTTCGGGGCCTCCCCACGAGAGAGTGTTACGTCTTCGGAAATACGTCTCGATGTTTTATTCATTTTATTCATTTTATTCATTTTATTCGTTTTATTCGTTTTATTATGGGATTATGGATATTAATATTATTATGTATATTAGTTTCGGATGAAAAACGTAAGTGGTTGTCGAGTATAGTAATATTTTATTCTAAAACGACAGTAATGATTTTTAACGCGATATAGTATCAAATATCCTAGCGTATACTTAACCGCAGCAGTAGCACGTCTTAACAAATACATTAGCATTCTATGGATACACCATTTTCGCGTGTATTCGCACCACGTGAAAATCTTACAGATCCGTAACTTGATAATTTATCCTTATCTAACGAGATCACAACGAAGTTGCGAATCTCGTATCAAACTTCAGTCTTGTATCTCTCCAAAATCTTTCCAAACATATAGCGAACGGAAAAGAGTCCTTCTAAGTATTTTATGTATTTACGGTAAAAGAATTTAGTCTAACGACCGATTCTAATTCGATCGACGCGTCGTTTAAATGTACGAGTAACTAGAAATTCGAACGTAAAGATGTTTCGTTTCCAAGAAACGGGTAACCATCAACAATCCTGCGTGACGTTATTTTGCTCTGGCCGAAGCCGAGACGATGTAGGAGGCGAGGACGATCGTATTGGACCGAGAATTTTGCGAGGACAACACTGGCCGATGGTTTTTCGAGACTGAAAGCACAGGACGAGATTTTAAAGTACAGTTTATGCGTTTTTACGGTATCGATTGGTAAATTTTTATTTTTCACTTATTGCATACACAGTACTCGTTTAAAACTTACCCGATGTTGCGTGCTTTTTTCCCATGATAGAACACGTTCCTCACCAGCACACCCACCATTTTATCTACGGAAAAACATATTTTATTCGAAACCGTGATTATGCATATAAGAGACAGGCAAACAATTCTACGTATTTATTGTAATATATTTTTACTCGAAAACGTTGATAATTCGTTTCTCGTCGGGCGAGACACGATGAACTTAGCTGCGACGAACGTAGCCGCCGTAACGAGGAGGATAAGCAGGACAATGAACTTCAGTCTTGCAGGACGTCTAGTACAGAACTGAATGCGAGTCTTCGTTGTCTTTGTCGTCGTCGTTACCGTCGTCGTCGCCGACGACGCTTTCCTCCGCCGGATTTCTTTCCCTTATTGGGGGTTTTCGTGAAACGGTAAATTTTAGGCTTTAGGTTTTAGGTATATATATGTATACATATATGTATGTATACGTCGACGGTACCTTATAGCCTGCGAATAGGCCGTATACGTAAATACTGCTATAGGTCCTAGAATTTCAGGAAACCGCTTAACGGTAATACAATGCGGCTTCGTTCGAGCGTAATGGGACAGTAAGCACGCTTTCCTTTGGGATTCCCAAATTTGATCATAAAACCAGCTAACACCGAACGAACGAACGAACGAAACGAACGAGAGAAATCACGACAAACTGTCCAGATAGAAGTTTAATATTACTCGAATGTAGACGTGACGCAATTAAGACAACAAAATTTCACATTATCGTCGCGTTGTCGAAAACCAAAGACTCGACGTCTAACGTTTAATTTCTTATTGACGCTAGAACAGATGAAATTCCCCGTACAGATTATACGAGCGTAAATTGTATCTGTATATTCTGAAAATCAAGAAATGACAGAATCTCCAATAATAGGATCTTACGATCTCGCATTCGATATCGTCCGTTTGGCACTGTCGTACAAACATTTGTGCTCGCAGTTGCCCACATTTGTCGAAAAGAAAAGACACGAAAAGTGAGAAAGAAGAAGGAAGCGGCGAAAATATAACCAGATACTTGATCAGCGATTGTCCTCGGATTAATTGTGTCTCGCGGATTCATCTTCGTGTTTCGGTTGATTTATTGATTTCATTCGTTGCTTACTGATTTGGAAACATACAAAGGTGAAGCGAGACACAGGAGCGATTAATGAGAAATATACGAGTGAGTCGATAAAAAAATCGTAGTTTATTGAGTTCTTATAATTTACAGAGTACGCATTGGCGTATGTATGTATGTATGTATGTCTTACGTAAGAAGGCGAGAGAGAAGTAAAGGCAGAGACAGAGAACCGATGTGTGCAGCAATTCGATAAGACACGATAATAGACGGAAATTCCGCGAAGACGCAAAATAAACGATCGTCGATGGAAAACTGATTACTGGTAATTGCGCGAAAATTACCTTTTAGTAGTCGCGTACATGAGAATTAACAAAACTGAACGAAACGAAACGAGTATCATCGTGTCCTCCAGGGTACCCCATCGAATTCCAATGTCTTCTCTGATTCGTTCTAAACATTATTTATCGTTCTATGGACGGAAGCTGATGGGTTTCCCTTCCTTGTCCTATACACACATCTATACCGCATCGTACGAATTTTAAGCAGGTTTTCTACGAATTCTTCGATCACGAGAAGAGAAACGAAGAGAAATTTTTGATGCTTTAGTTAGTTGGGATATCCTTATGTCGTGGCACACTATGACCCACATTTTTTTTTTTCTGTCGACGAACAAACAATCTCGCGTGCGTCACCGGACGATGCTGATTTCTCGAGATAAGTAAACGATGCGATAAACAGTCTCGGTTCAGTGTCGAATAGAATTTGCAGAAAATAAGTGCGATTCGTTTTACTCGCGACGGTGCTCGATCAAACGCATTAAACTAACTTGGCCGAGGAATCGTATACTATGCGTAATAGTCCTATATACGTGTATTAGAGTAATTAGAGTATTGTCCATTTGTTCGGTGTCCTCGATCGTCTCGAAAACGTAGCGATAGTAACAAGGCGTTTTTACATATTGGATCTACGATCTGACATTCTATCTAACATCTCGAATCGAGTATATTGCACCTTAACGATTAAACAGTCTACGATAATTTGATAATATACTCTCGATTTCGAACGATTGTACGAAATTTACATAATAGAATCCGGAACCTCAACATTCTTTGTACATCGCGTATTCGCAAGAATGACATCATGAATCACTGATTAGTATTAAAAATCGAATTTTTACTGTGCGATGACTATGATATAATAATCGATTTGACATTTGAAGTATTTGCAAGTCGAATGTCCATAGAACTTTGTCGCTTCGCTGAAATTAAAGTTTTATTCCTAAAGGTGACACGCAGTCAAACGTTACGTAAGATGTAGATATGTATATTCGAAGCGTCAAAGTATTTTTTGCGCTAACGCGAAATCTATTATCTACACGTCGAAGGTATTCACACGGGTTTATAATTTCATTTCAACCGATATATGTACACACACATATACGACACTCTTAATTACCACGGTCGATCTACGTATTGAAAATTTAGACGCCAGAAATAAGAAAAATTGAAATTCTCGTAAATCGAATACGGTAAGACTTTCCGAGAGCAATAATGGCACGTGTACGGCGTCGGGTTGCCTCATGGATGAATCGTGGCGATCAGTTACTAAAGATTAGCATGTCGCTCGTGTCTGCCGTAGCAGAGGCGTAGCTGCTGGCCGAACTCTTGTTGGACGATGATATCGCGCTGCTGGACGCTTGCGCCTTCGCGTTGCCCGATCCACTTCCGGAACTGTACGCGCTGGACTTGCTAGAGCTGGTTGCCGAACCCCCGTTGGCGAAAGCGTTGGAGTTTGCACTGGATACGGCACCGGATAGGCCACCGGACGAGCCTGAGGAAGGGAGAGCAATCATTTAATAATGATCAGGCCAGATTCGACCGCTTCGACGAAAGCTGACGCAGACGCACCGACGTCTGCGGCTGAGCCTGCAGAAGGAATACGACAGAGAATGCGTTATGATTGTTGTTGACTAGCTCGCGAGGTCTGTCGATTCACAAATAGCTATTTATCGCGATAAGCGTAATCGATCGTTTTAGGACAGAGTCAGAGGAACCTACCTTGCCCGTAAGCTCCCGATCCACCGGATCCTTTTACATTTTGACCTCCGAAGCCACCGAAGTTACCACTGGATCCTCCGGCGATAGCGGCAGCGTCCGCTTTCGCATTAGCTCCGGACGAACCTCCTCCGTATTGTCCGCCAAATCCCCCGAGACCCGATCCAGAGGGTCCGGTAGCACTCGGGCCACTGCCTATGCTACCCGCTCCGCTGTTTCCACCCAGAAAGCCAAATCCACCGGCTCCAGCATTGGCTATCGCGTCGGCTTTGGCATTTGCCCCGGACGAACCGCCTCCGTATTGTCCGCCAAATCCCCCGAGACCCGATCCAGAGGGTCCGGTAACACTCGGGCCACTGCCGATGCTACCCGCTCCGTTGTTTCCACCCTGAGAGCCAAATCCGCCGGTTTCAGCATTGGCTATCGCGTCGGCTTTGGCATTTGCCCCGGAAGAACCTCCTCCGTATTGTCCGCCAAATCCTCCGAGACCCGATCCAGAGGGTCGGGTAGCGCCGAGGCCACTGCCGATGCTACCCGGTCCGCTGTTTCCACCGTAGGAACCAAATCCACCGCTTCCGGCATTGGCTGCCGCGTCAGCTTTGGCTACACTCGCCGAAGAACCTCCGTATTGTCCGTTGTATCCCGCAGGAGCCGTTCCTGTAGGACCGGTCCCGCCTATGGTCCCGCTAATACCAGTGCCAGCAGCTCCATTTCCCCCTCCGTAGATTCCGAATCCACCGTTTCCGGCATTAGCTGCCGCGTCGGCTTTGGATACACCTGTCGAAGAACCTCCGTATTGTCCGTTGTTATATCCTCCAGGAGCCGTTACCGTAGGACCGACGTTACCTAAGGCGCTACTACCAGCGCCAGCAGCCCCGTTGCCTCCTCCGTAGATTCCGAATCCACTGTTTCCGGCATCGGCCGACGCATCGGCTTTGCTCACAGAACTACCTCCGGACGGTCCGCTACCATAAATTGGTCTAGACGATCCGTAGATCGGGGCGCCACCTTTGGTAGGCGCATAATATCCTCCAGTTCCGGTGCTCGATCCAGAACCACCGAATGCGGTGCCCGAGCCTATGTTTCCGTACGATCCACTCGGTCCCTGTACAATTACTCCAGGCTGTGCTGGAATCACCACAGGTGCCGATTTAATCGGCTGTCCGTATCCATTGGTGGAACCCACCGCGTTCGCACCTGCATTCGCGTTAGCCGAGCCACCTCCGTTAATCACGAGATGTTCAAGACCCGGAGAAGATGGTTTCGTTATACCGGTATTGCTTCCGTATGCACCGGGGCTGCGAGCAGGACCGTTCAAGAAAGGATTCTGCCCTTGTATTTGGGTCGGCGAACTGGCTATCGCACCTGCGTTTGCGTTCGCGTTGGCAGCTGCGTTGGCATTTCCTTGGGAGGATCCACCGAGGAAAGGATTGCTCGCTCCGGTTGGACCGGATGGACTGCTGGCAGGATAATATCCTGGACTCGGAGCATAACCCGATGATCCAGGTTTCGCGTTTCCGTTGGCGTTGCTAATGGCTTGAGCGTTCGCTTGGGACGTTCCACCGAGGAAGGGATTGTTGGCACCGGCGGGAGACGATGGACCGCTCGAAGGATAATATCCCTGTTGCTGCACGTAACCGGACGAACCAGGGTAGCGATTTCCATTGGCGTTTGCGTTGGCGTTTGCGTTGGCGTTTGCGTTGGCGTTCGCGTTGGCATTAGCGAGGGCCCCCGAAGAGCCTGTCGGGTAAAGACTACCACCTCCACTCGGTTGTTGACCTATCGGTCCGTAGTATCCACTTTTTCCTGGACCACCTGCAAGAACGATTTTCCTATGAGTAACGGTCAAGATTTACCAGAATAATAAATTCTCGCCAGACATAGTTGCGGTACGTTGCCATTCGGATATGCGAAGATCTGAACTCGTGTCACAAGTTAGAAAGAGAATACAGTGCCAGCGAGGAAACAAGACAGGTCCATCGAGAGTGTACATCCTACGGAATTATTTGACAAAAAGGAACTACACGTCGATGTGATAGAGAAGAAACATTCCAACGGTATATTAGTGTGCGGAGAAGAAAGGCCAGAAATTTCTTGGAAGTATGCTTGGAAGAACGATGCGTATCGGTGCAACGAATCAGAAAAGTCGATGATGGTGCAACAGAAGTCATAATAACGTTCCCATGCTCTACTTCTATTTGCCTCTGGATTAGGGAATCCTGCGTGCAATTCGAAATTCGAACAAGCCAAAGTGCATTGATCAACGCCACCCGATCGAACCGCGTCGAAGCGTCTCACCTTGGCCCTGCGGCTCCGTACTTTCGATCACGAGGATCTGGAACGGCTCGTACTTCGGTTTCGGACGATGCATCGGTCTCGGTCGAGGCATCGGTCTAGCGAACGGTGGACCGTCCACGACGACAACTGGTATCACCGAGTCTCCGTTGTACGGAATGGCCGGTTGAAGCGGCGGAAGCGAATGAACGAACTCTTCGGGTCGCGGATAAGGTGGATGGTTGTGAACGGGGTATGGAATCGTGACCGGTTCTCGGTTGTATCCAGGAAAGTTTGGCGGTCTTTGTACGCCTGTCGAAATGCCAGAAAACTGTCTATCGGGAATATAGCTTGCTCCGTTGTTAGCAACCGCGTTCGCATCGGCGTTACTTTGAACATTTCCCGCTGAATAGTAACCAGTCGGTGCTCTTACGCCGCTGATCGAGTTCACGTTCGTGTTCACGTTAGTGTTTACATTCGTGTTCACGTTCGTGTCCAGGTTGGCGTTCGTGTTGACTATCGAATTCAGATTCGTGTTCACGTTCGTATTCACGTTCGTATTCGTGTTCACGTTCAGGTTGTTGTTTGAGTTCGAGCTGGCTATTGTGCCGGCGGTTGCCCCGGCGGATGCACCCGCGTACGCACCCCCGTGGGCACCACCGTGTGCACCGGCCTGTGCACCAGCCTGTGCACCATAATTCGCGTTTGCATTCGCTTGAGAACCGCCGTAACCACCGTGATGACGATCGTTGCGTGGAACGTAACCGTTATAATTACCGCCTTGGTTGTCATCGATGTTAGAATAGTAATTTGGTCCCGAACCACCGTTTATACCTACGTTCAAAGAAAATACAACGCTCGTTACGGGCTCGCGATACACTTGTTGACTTTCGTCCCGTGTCTCCGTTTGATTTTTTTTTTTTTAAATGTAACTTATTCAAATCGACTCGTTTGCATAGAATTTCTTCGGCCCAAACGGATGCGTTTCTCGAATACGAGAAACGTCTATAATATCTTTTTCTAGGAAATACCTTGGGCATTAGCGATGGCCGAGGCGTCGGCGTTCGCATTGGATCCACCGAGGGCATGTGCATTCGCCTTGGCATTGGCCGATGCAGATCCATCGGCTGTTGCGCTCGCCGATCCCGAGGATATTGCCGATGAAAAGGAAAGAGGTCCCAGGTTCAGGTTGCTTCCGAACGACTGCGCGTTGCTGCTTGCCCGAGTATCTTTATCCTTGTGGAAGAGTCCCAAAGGATCCAGTAAACGAAGTCCATGATTGGACTTCAGTCCGTCGAGCAGCAGACCTAAAATTGAAATATTTCTTCCTTAGAAGGATCGCTCGGAGATCCCGAACCGCGTCTTTTTGCTTTCCAACGGGCGGTGATTTGATTTTGATGTTCGTCGAATCTGCAAAAATTCCCCCAAACGAAAGGAAAACTCACCGGGTCTGGCGTGACAGCTACCAACGAACAGGAGTATTACCACCGACACTAGACACTTGAACTTCATGTTTCTTGGCACTTTGGTCGTCGATCGATCGCTAGACACGCGTAAAATTTTTATCGATCGTTAGCGTGACAAGTCACTAATCTCCGTGGCCGAAGAGTCAAGAACGACTGAAGCTCTTGAACGAGACAACAACTTATATACGAGACACCGGTGGACTTTACGTCGGTCAATAATTGTCCGTTACTCGACGCGCCGTTTCTATTCGGTTCTTCGGTTTTCGTTCGGCGAAACGAAAGCCGAGCTTACCATGGAAATATCCATAACGGGACTAACTAACTACCGTCCGAGGATATAAAATATTTTCGTGTGTCCGTAACGAAAATACAAGAATAACAGTGATCTCCGTTGAGAGAAGACAAAACTTTCCCTGGCCAGGATCGAGCTGACGCTATCAAGGTCTGATCGCTTCGGCGAACCGCTTCGCATTTTTCCATCCTGGAGTATCCCTGCTGTTGATTATTCGATTCGCTATCGCTTTTCTTTCGCGAATTTCCAAACATTTCAGACGTAATGGGAAACGAGTATCGTTTTGGGAAAATTCCAACTATTTCGAACTATTTCGAACGAATTCGCGAACGCGTCGAGAATAGAACAATTAAGGCCAGTGGATAGTTCGTATCCTGTCAATTCAAATCGATGGAATCTGCTACATCTGTCGAATCTCGGTAAATATTCGTATTGTTAATATACATCCGGGTTTCCAACGGATAAGGATAGCTTATGTAATTTAATTGAAATTCTCAGAGGTAAACACTAATAGCGGTATTTTTTGGCAAGAAATATTTGTGAAGTTTGATAATTGGAAAGACGGGTAACATTTACATATACAAGCTACAAGCACACAATATTTATAACTGTCGATCGTTGGTGGAATTTGTACAGTTATGAACAGTAAAGAATGGCAAGAAAGAGTAAAACCACAATGGATCGCGTGAAGTTTCTATTAGTTATACGACAGAGACGCATATTAATGAGAAAATAGTCCCAAAGTACCATAAACGATCAGGGGGAAAACCAATGAAGAATCGATTGGAATCACTTTGCGTTCGGCGCTCAATAAAAAGCAGTGACTACTTGTAGTCCTCGTGGTGCTGTCTCCCTCTCTCCATGATACAACGAATTCCGATAGTGGGTCAAGGAACTATTCTCGAGAATAAAGGAAGGGAAGAGAAAAGCACGAGAAATATAATTCGTTTTCAGGATCTTCTTCGAAATATCGGAGTCCTAAGGTTTCCCTTATTCCAAATATTTAGCCACTACTACTACCGGTACACCGAAATCCTTTCATTCAAAGGATGTCCATGTTACGCTACTCGATTCCAGTCGTAAGACATTGCCGTCACTCCTCTTGATCGCGACGAAAAAGAAAAAGAAAAGAAAGCGTTCTTGAATTCTTCGTTATCTTGTAGCCAATGTCACGCAATATACGCGTACCGTATGTAGGTACTCACCTTTGCAGCTTCCATCCATGCCTCTGAAAACCTGAATTTCCAAGGTCAGATTCAACGATTGCCAACATATCGGGAACGTAAGATGGATGCTTGTGGGAAAGAAAAAGTCGGTCGATGTAACAAGGGGATAGAAGCAGTTGTCGATCGATTCGAAATTAATCGAGAGAAGTCAATCGTATAACTACCGCGTCGAATTTTCTATTCTCGATGGCAATAATTTGCGATGAACTTGGATTTCGCGAGTCGGTGGAACCCATCATCGCGCCATCGAGATTCGACGTCTGTAAAATTAGCGGTAACTAAAAAAACTAAGATGCGCATGGACCTTTTTTTTTTCCATGGAAGCAACGCGTCTCTGTGATTATGCAAATTGGGGTCTAGGAACCGGTTGATATTTTTAAACGGATAAGCAGAAAATAAATCTTGCGAACGACTTGTTCGGGACAAGGCTTGAAAGGACATCCTCTCTACAATTTTATGCATTGAAATTCGCTTCGTGGATAATAAAAGAATCCAGTTGATAGAGCCAGTTAATTAAACGCGGAGGAAGTACACGAACGATCATCTTTTCGCGAGAAATTATCCCATTTTAATAATAATGGTGCACAACCGTTGCGCAATTACCTGTAATTAACATCATTAACGGTTAACGAGAACAAGTTAAGATCCATGTTTCTGCGATGATTTATTAAACGAAGAAATAATTTACGCGTTAGCGAATAAACGCGCCACCGTTTTACCATACGACTAGCGTCGTTACATTTCTAATATTTTTCATTTTTATCCGAATACATACTCAGACGAGTGTGAAATGTGTTGTCGGTTAGCGTCGATGTGAATAAAAAAAAAAAGAATCGAGAGATAAGTCGCGAGTAACCTTGCAAATTAATCGTGTACTCGTACATCGATTAAAAGCCTCGATACGCTTTGATTCGCAATTGTCTGGTTTTCCGCAAGATGAAAAACTGTAAGAAAAACATACGATGATCCTCCAGTTGATTTTTCAGTCGAAGTTTCGAGGCTTCCACCTACGTCAAGATAACGATGTCTCATACAGGATACACGTATTGTACACGTATTGTACACGTATGTATACTGTACATATATGTATGTATGTACGTATAGACGCGTATACTCGAAATTGCTCTGCTTAATGAACGGTTATCATTTCAACTGTGCGACATAAACTACTGGTTAGAATTCCAGAATCACGCTAGGAGACTCCGAATGGGACACGAATCGGGAATCCCATTTCGTGACTCACGGTGGACGCACGAATCTCCAGAAAATATCTTGATTTCATTAATACCAACGTGTCGTCGGTCGCGGCGGATGTTTAGTTTTTCGATGGCGCGGGGCGACGGTGCGTAATTCACGATCGCTCGATAAGTTTCACGTGATCGTACGTATCTGGTATCCCGATGATCGGGTAGTTCAGGAAAACAGACGTTGGAAAGCCAGAACGTTGGATTCAAAATGTTTAGGTCAAGCGCCTCGCGGAACGAGTTTGTCGCTTACATACATATCTACAAGGAACTCGAGAGGCGTTACGAAATGAAACGACGCGACGCGGACCTTTCGTCGAGACCTTGGTGATTCACAGCTCCAAGCTCCAAGCTCACAGTTTCTGTATAAGTATACTTGTACGTATGTACTCGGATCGACGCGCGACGAAATTCTATGGTAGCACAGGGAAATCCACTGGTATGCTTACGCGACTCGGTATAAATGTACTCCGGTACTTGTTTCTACGCGACCTCGACGGGGAACGCGTGTCTGCGTGGTATCGAATTCCGCATACATTCACGAATGTTCGACCGTGTTCGTTGTAAAAACCGAAGACGCGAAATTATCGATTTAATTGATATTCCGTACTGACGGTACTTCTCCTTTTGTTTCCAATGACGTAACTCACGTAACCGACGATGAATCGATGAGCGTGACAAGTTCAACGACGGTTGCCGGTACGCTCCTGCCGCCTCGACATTGAAACAGCAAAAATATCGTATTTACTTTGAACATTTATTTGACAAGCAACGCAAGTACAAGGATGGAGGTACAATTTGTCTCTACACTGGTCTCCCCTGAATGAAAGTAGGTAGTTGAAAACTAATGTCTGTGAAATACTATTCGCAGACCTTCGAACTACAGTTTAACAATTCCTCGAACGCGTTGGCGCCTTTAACTCGTTGTCGAGTTTACAATTAATACTGTAATTCATTCCCCAAGAAACTTGATACGAAGAACGAGCGAACGGTTCATTTCTATTCCGGCGAATAAAACATCGGTAGCGCAAGCATCTGTGATAGTAGTTTATCCTATCGATAAAAATTATTGTCCCTTTGTATGTATATTTAAACTTAAATATTTTCAACTCAAACGGAGAATCGTGAGAGCTCGAAGGCAAGTCGATTTGCTTGCCAACGATATCCAAGTATGTATATTATTATTGTCCTTCGGTTTTTTGTTTTTTTTTTTTCTCTCTTTAAAATACCTTTGGCAGAAGTTGCATAATGCGAATCGAAAGCGCACTTGGAACGATATGTTCGTCTCCGCGATCGAGAATTCTTTTCCGTCGCGAAAACGTCACGTTTGGAAAGATGATCCATCGGACGAGATAACATTTGTATTTTCCAATAAACTTATTATATATTCGCATTTCCTAGGCATTCTTTCATCGACGAACATTCACGAGTCGCGCTCGGTACGTATAGCATTCGATTCAAGTATACATACATACATACATACATACATACATACATACATACATACATACATACATAATTCTATGCACGACGTTTGCGTTTCTACCCTTTTCTTGACATCATTAAGGCAGACGTTGAAGTAATTGACGCAAAAGGTGATGCCGACGATGTCGACCCTTTACTTGACAATTATTTCGTTATCCCGTGAAATTATTTTGTCTTGGAAACATGCGTACCGTTAGGCCTCGTTTGTAGCCCATTCGTTAACGAGCAAAAGGAAGGAGAAAATTCTGATAACCGATAGGATAAATATTTAGCTAACTACTAGGGGACTTTTCGTTTGCCAAATAAAGGGCCAACTATGTTACCCAACAAACAGACAGTCGAAAAATATTGCCGTAGAGGAAACGGAAAACGCACTTGTGCACTGTCCCCGTAACAGTAGCCCTTCCATCGACAGACAGTTCTTTTCGTTTCTTCGCGATCGCACGATTAATAATCGACTACAGTTTTATGCATAGAACACGAACGATCACAGTTCCTGTTAACCCGAATATGCTGCTTCGCTTTCAGACGAAATCGTATCTATTTAAATGGAACAAGGTCGTGAACACTGATTCACAAATCACGCAGAATCTGCAACCGAGACAAACTCTCGTGTTACGTAATCTCCATTCAAGACAATAGAGCTCGATATTCGGACATTGAAATCGATTGGAATTCTGTCATCGATTTCGAAAACTTATTCCCGTTGAAAGAAATATTTTCAATGAAGTACCAATTGCGAAGTTTGAGATTGGCTTTTGTAATTCGAATAAAATAATGGCCTGGAAATGTTTCGATTCCAGACTTTATTCGAAAAGAACAAAGAAACAAAGATTTCCTCCTCGAAAGCAGTTGGGAACGAACTCTTAAACTTCAGATAAATAGGAACGAGTATCGCATAAAACATAAATGAACGAAAGAAACGCTATCTGTATCAAAATGTTTGTCGATATACATTTCTTCTCGCGCGTGATCTTTCGGAGTCTTCGATAAACTAATATCCACGTACGTTCGATGTGGTAACGTAATTATCTATCGGCGCATTCGCATAAATGATTACCGCGTCTTGAAAGTTGCAGTGTACTTTTACGTATTCATCCTCGAAGCAAATAATACTTGTAAATGATCATTGTTGTCTTCACTCGCGAACACTCTGTAATCCAGATAGATATTTCGTGTCCAGACGAAAGACAATTCATTGTACGTATAGATTGATATAGAATATAGAACCGTGTGGTTTAATGTACAAGGGAACGAAACATAAAGGACGCAGGCACGAAAAACAAATGATTAGAAAAATATAAATATCAGTAAGAGAATGTTAGAGTGGATTACAGAGTGTCACAACCCGTGGCTGGTTGATACTCGAAGTTGAGCGTACAAACAGAACGAAATGATCCGCGTTAAAAGAAAATAACAGATTCACGGTGATCTTTCGATCGAGGAATTTCTCATTATCGCATTCACGATATACATATAGTAGCACGTATTCCATGCATTCATTGATTCATCTGTCCACCCTACATTAAATTCACGCACACCCACAGAGAGAGACGCGAGCTCGGGTGAGTCACCTTTCCCATAGAAAAATCTGCTAACTAAAGCTTCTCTTTTAAGGAAGCGGAGTTCGAACCGTGGTGTCCACGACTTTTCTCGGGTCGGTATTGTCGTTGTCGGTTTGGTTTTCCGTGTTTTCCAAGTCCGTTTCACGGGCTATCGCGTAATCGTTCAGATACTCTACGACCTGCATGTGTCCAAAGGTTTCCGCTTCGTCTACGGGTCGTTTGCCCCACCTAGAAAATAATATCAGGATCTAATATTCCGCCCGCGCGTGGCGTAACCAGAGAGACGGACGACAGCCTCGCGCAGGAACCAGTGTCGGTCGAATTATTAGATAGCTGTACGTACATACGACGAGGCTTACCTGTCCTTGGGATCGTGGGGAACTCCACACTGCTCGATCAGAAATTCAACGCAATCTAGATGGCCTTCGCTGGCAGCCAAATGCAGGGCAGTCCTGCCGTCGTAATCGGACAACGTCATGTCCATACCGCTTAGTCGATGCCTAAAATTATATCGTTACGTCGTACAGTGGATTTTACGCTCCGATATCTATTTGCTATACTCTCGATCGAGAATTCGGACCGACCTTCTCATAGCGGTAACATCGCCGCTGGCCGCGCTAAACAAAAGGTTCACGATAGACAGCCCTTTGGTCTCGTACTTGTGCCTCCTGGGATCCTTCTTGTTCGTCGCGTGTTTCAGGTTGTCGTACCTGTGATCATAGTAGGTGCTACACTAATGAGGACGGGATGGAAGACGACGGGAGACAATGAAAATAGCCCAAGTATCGTAGGTCGGTGGTGGTCCGTGTTCAGATTCGAAGACGAAAGGCAGACATTGTGCGGATAGGTTTGTTCGTCGTGCGGGTTTACGTGTAGCCGTGGATCGTGAGAAAAGCAAAGGAGAGGAAATAAACAATTGATTAATGTGTTGTCATTCGTTTGTGGATCGATTAGTTTTTTAAAATGAACATTAATAAGCGTAAACTCTACCGGCAGAATCAGAAATTTCTATGTGCATCGTATTGTATCGGTAGTATTTGGTAATGTTGAAAAGATCGTTATAGCGTTTAACGTTTTAGCGCGTGTGTAACGTGTAAATTTCCATCGGTGCAGCTGCTGCTGTACGAAAGAATTGAGATAGTTCTGTGCGAGATAACGTTGGCGTGTGTACCTGTGAAAATTGAATTCCGAGACCAGCTCCTCGCAGAACTGTACGCCGCGACACGAGTTGCCAAGAGGATCCAGCGGTGGTGACCACGTGCAGATTCCCATTACGTTTGGAATAACTACGAGAAGACTTCCCGACACTCCAGACTTGGCTGGTATACCAACCTGCAATATATTGTGATAGATGTAAATGTGTATTGTGTCACGACGCTACTTTAAGGAGAACGTGAAACATCAGGATCAAGTCAGAGTAGTTACCTTAAAAGCGAATTGACCACTGTAATCGTACATGCCACAGCTGTGCATCAGGCTGAGGACATCTCTCACACTGTCGGGCTTCAGGACCTTCTCCTCGGTGATAGGACATATGCCACCATTGGCCAGGGTGGCGCCCATGACGGCCATCGTATCGCAATTTGCTTCCATCGCGCAACACTATGAATATAAGGAAACATCGTTCAAGTGCCTCTATATTCTTGAATCGTGTACGCACCGTACGAAGAGCGACGATAACGTACTTGAAAGTAAAAGTCCATTATTTCTCGCAAATTCGTCTTGTCGGGGTAGCAATCGTGTTCCCTCATGTAAAATCCAAGCGCGTAATTTCGGTCGGCGGCTTCTCTTTCCGATAAGAAGACAGCATTGTTGAAACCGAGATTCTCTCCGCCCGCCAATCTCTTAAAATAGTTCATCGTGAAGTCGAATTTCTCCGCGAGAGCCATCTCGGGCTTGATCAGAGACTTGAGCAGGGAACACACCAGTATCGCGCCGGCGTTGATCATAGGATTGTGAGGTTTCTCTGATAAATACGTATCATTTCATTCGAAGCTTTTGTTCCCGCGACACCTGGATGTTCGGTTAAAACGCAATCTACGTTCGCGAGACCACGTATAGATTTCCTAGCTTACTGTTGTAATCCAGGACCAATTCGTTGAAATTCCTGCCAGATGGTTCCTGGCCGACGTATCGATGGACAACCTCTTGACCCAATCTGTCCAGAGCTATCGCGTAGGTCAACGGCTTGCTGCAACTCTGCAGGGTAAACGGCATCGAAGTGTCGCCGATACTGAACCTCTGTCCATCGATCGTGCATACGGAAACACCCCAGTAATCCGGATTCATTCTGGCCAGCTGAGGTATATAGGAGGCAACCTTGCCCTCCGAGTTCGACTTGCATTTCCAATAGAAGTCCTCTATGTGTTTCGTGAAACCCGACCAGTCCGGAATGATGAATTGATGCCTGAACGCTCTCGAGATCAATACTATATTCGGATTTATAATCCTGGAAGGAGAGGAGAAGCGAATCGATTGATCCGATAATAAGCGACCCCTAGCCAACGACTTCGTCGTAATAGGTTTCTCTCCACCTCCTTACACTACTTTCTTACCTTCTAAATTGTTCTCTGTTCAGCTTTTGCGTCTCGTGGGAAACACCCTCGTGTCCTCCCGTCTTCAAGTGTTCCTTTCGCAAGTTGTCCGAGAATTCTTGAAGTCTGGGGTCGTCGTTTCGCAAACCGGTCGTCCTTAAAGCCTTGAAACACGCGAAACAACATAACGTAGAGCGTCTCGAGGGCAACGAGATTCTCGCGCGAACCTCCGCACGGATAAGATCGAGCGGTACTCACAGCTAGAAATTTGCCCACTGGTAGAAGGCCAGTTTCTTCATTTTTAAACATATCGAACAGTACATCCTCGGCGTTCGTCGCTTGATCTTGATCTCTGGTACTGCAACGACGCGACGTAGGTACAATGATTAATTTTATTGTTACAAATTTTCGCGCGTTCAATGTCACCCGACGCGTACATACGTACACTCTTTTTTACGAGCATGCAATTTTAATGTATTCCAAGGTATCCTATCTATCGAGTCTGTAGCACAAACACACATCGAATCTATACATATACATATCTATGATATACATATGTAACTACGAATACCGTTACACTTCCTGTCGCGAGAGAAGATACGTAAATAAAAAACAACAAACACTCGTTCGTCGATTATTTAAACGAAACCACGCTGACCCGGATAAGTTATACGCAGCGCGACGTAAATAATGTTACGATTAATTGTAACAGGTTTCGATTCACACCGATATTCACACACGACGCACCGACCGAACGAGAACCACTTGTCTGATCTACATTTTCTTATCCAAACACTGTTACAAACTACTGCTCCTGTTCATTACTTTTTTTTTTTTTTTTTTCATATGCCTAATATAAAGCTTGGTTTTAACGGTTCTACTTTCTCTTGAAACAATGAGTTTCGCGCATCGCGCCATGCATTAATCGACAAAGAACGTAGCACACGGTACTCACTACATGTAATGGCTGTCATGTATGAAGCTGTATTCGCTGTAAAAACATACGGAAAATATGTATCAGTTGACAATGGTACCGGAAATGATTACCTAAGGAATCGCGCCAGCATCCTCTTAGATTTGTAACCTTTTTTTTCTAGCCAGATGGAGCACGCGATCTTCGATCTGATCGAATAATCCTCGGACACATTCACCGGCACTAACGCTGAATTATTCTCCGGCGCATGTTCCTCGGCTATTTCGACACAAGGCACGACGATGCTTAGATTCGTATCCTTCATTTTACAACCGAGAAATTTCTCCTTGCGAAAGAGATATCGCAGAAATGTTCGATAATCGCGCGGGACGAGAATTGGAATTCGCGCACGCTTCGATCTATTGAAAAGCTTCGATGATCTTTACGCAGTCCGTACCGAGATCAAAGAGAAGCACGACCTTATATCGGCTGGAACGGACCAGTTATAACCCCACTCGAACAGGAAAACACGATCCAAAAATAGTGGAAACGCCAACAGGTAGCGATGGGAGTAGAATATATTTTTCGCGGTATCGTTCGAGTATCCTCAAATAAGCAAATAGCTTCGGCAAATAAAAATCTCGGGAATCGTCACTGGTGGTTGCGTTGCATAATCACGAACAAAGTGTTATTGTACACCGACGTGCAAACTCGGCTTCTGCTAGGGGAAAATGTGAGGTTGGCGAAATGCCTCCTACCATTTAGTTTTCGGAGTTACCGAAATTTATGCCAAATTAATATTCGGTTTAATATTTATTTCTGTACTTGAAATAAATTTAGTAAGTGCCGGAAGACTTTTCTTCTACGGCACTTTTTCCCGTAGCGGAAGCCGAGTTTTTCACGCGAGTGTACATGTCAATTAAACGAAAGTACGTTGATTCGCGAGCGGCACATCGAGAACGGAATCGACTCCATTGCTGCGCGCGTGAATCATATCGATGGCTGTACGTGTGATTTACGTATACACGTTGCGAACACCGTATGTCACGAATAGCAAATCCCACCTATGGATAAACAGTTGATTAGATTCAATTAGAACGACGGGTGTTCGGGTAACAACAGCCATCTGGTCAGCGCAACGCGCGGAAAACGTCGCAACGTTGTCAATGGAACGAAATGGCACGAGACGGAACGCGTATTCGGACGCGTTTTGTGAAAGTTAATTATAGAATCTTACCGAATCGACGATTTATAAAAGTCTGCCACGTCTTCCACGTAGTGTTCACTGAAGTTGAAGTCGTTCATATTTTTTTTCTTTTTCTCGTCGATGTCAAGAGTGTTCGATCGAAGGCTAATCGTTCATCGCTTTCGAAAGTATTGAAATCTCGACTCCAGTCTCTGCCGCAGCGCGGGACCTTTCTTCCTATCTAAGCACCCGGTGACGACGGAAACTCTAACGGAGAGGTTTCGCGAGATCGATCGATCTAGCAACGTTACGGAGAACAAAATCAGATCTTCGTCCTGAACCTATTTAAATGCGCCGCGGCATCGTTAAGACAATAAACCGCGATGCTTGGGGTCGTATCTATGAAGATCAAATGGTTCTCAATTAACCAACTATCATGTCCGTCGGAGGGAATAGGAAAGCATTTGATAAAACACGATGTCTCGCGACGAGGAAGAAGCAACTACATAAAACTTTGATCGACGAGAAGACGAGCCTGACATAATTGTCGGGTAAAGAGAGACGTTTCTCGACGAGCCAAAGGAAATTGCTCGTTACTTGGAAAATACTGATACGAGTGGTACAGCGAATCGTGGAAATTTCGATGACAAAGCTTTGAATACGAGCCACGAGATTGACCGAGGATCGAATACGATCGAACGTGCCCACCTTCGCCGCGAGAATGATTGCGAGTCCCAGAAATGCGAACGATTGAGAACCGTCGGTATCGATTACTTCAGATTTATTGGTTCTCCATTGTGCTCCACCTAGTGCACGAATCTATTTCGCGATTGTTACGATGTTCCTCGAGTAAGGAGAACACGATAAACGATTAGCTTTATTTTATATGTGTGTACGCAACCCGATCGGTCGAAGCGATACAAGCAATTGGACTATTGTACGCATCGTTCGATATTTAACTAGCATATGTCGTCGCCAATTTTTCCACTTATTCTTCAAGCATTTTAGACCAGAAGTATCAAACTTTCGTCAGTTTTTTCGATAATCTATTTGGATATCATCACTCTCGTCGTGCCTCGCTCGTTATAATAATAATGGTACGAGAATGCATAATATACGTATCGTGTTACATACCGAACGAAACACCATCCTGTTCACTTGATCGCTCAAGCGTTCTACGGTGTAGACTAGAAACAATAAGAACGCGCATTGCTTGACGCGTAAACTATTCGAAAAGATCTGAACGGCGTTAACAAAGAAAGAAAAAAAAAAAAAAAAATTCGATCGGATATTCCATTTGAACATAAAACGATCAAAATCGATGCGATCGTAGCCCCATCGAAGCGAAAGACGCGTAGCAAGTCGTCGTAAAATTGACTATTTGACGTAAAATAGGAAACGCGTAATCGCTATAGAAAATATACAGAGCGTGTTCGTTACCGTATCTGCGCGCGTTCTAATTCTAAGGCACTTCCGATAGCGGAGTCCAAGTATTTTAAGTTTCCAAGCTTCCTCGATGCCGGTACCGCAGCCCGTCTCTGTAATCAATCAGTTTAGATCTACCATGATCAGTGTTCCTCCGAAATTATACGAGCAATCGGAAAATTGCTGTGAAAAAATGGCGGTGCTGTTCCGATCGAACGTTGTAAACGTGCACGAGCAGCCATGAATGGCTTCGATGTTCTTGATCGGAAGCAGCAATTCGGTAGCGAGGATTCCCTACAGGGCCAACCAGCTTTGCCAGAAGTAGGGAAAACATGGCCGCGTAAGGACAATATGACTTACATCATAGCGAGGAGTAGAAGGATGAGCGGGCTGGGGGAGGGGCGGGTATATTTATATCGGGGACGCGACGTCACTCTTTCATTCGTAGTAGTATTAGCATGATGTGTGCGCAAGTGGTATATCAGTGTATACATATATATAGCTGTATGTGATGTCATCTTGTACCTGCGGTAAGGAATTCTCCTAGCAACGCCGAGGCCAACGGATGTTCCTGTCATGTGAAAATCGAATTTGATCCATTCGTCGTTAAAGGGCGGTCCGGTACTCGCGAGCCAAAACAAAGAAAAGGTTCGCGGTTCTGCTTTTGAAAAACCGGTTCCCGTGTTTCGTGAATGAAGAATTTTGGGTCGATAAAGCGTACGAGGGGTGCGGAACGTCGGTTGCCAGGCAGTCTGTATTGATCCTTCGATGTATCAACCCCAACCAACGTAAGCCGAAACCTGCCACGTGTATCCCTAATTCGGATCAGGAGGATGTAACGTACGAAAACAAATTCTTAACGAATATAGATAAGTATGCATACGCACTACAATTTTATGACGAATCAAATGTCGTTCGCACGCGAAAACAAAAGAACATGCACGAGAATGTGAAAATCGTTTATCGCAGCAAGTACATACAACCGCGAACGACGCATCGTATTTGAAAGCGTAGCGTCGCTACCGATCGTTGACAGCAATTTAACACGACGAAAGACGCTAACGATCGTTTAATTGGTGGTCTAAGCGAAGTTGCGGCTCCTCTCGCGGTTGATGTCGTACGACGTACGAGTTGCATGTATGTACATACGTAGCGTGTTCAAGTATTTCTGTCGCTGAAATGGGCCACTGCCACCGCCCACGTGGACGCCAAACATGAATAGAATAACGCGTGTCCGCGTGTATAATCGGTACCTTGTTTCGTCGGGCAACCGTCGTACGTTTTATCCTAATATTACGTTAGGAAACTTTATAAACGGAATAAAAATACATCCGGAATGAACGAGCAATATCATTTATCGATTGTCTTGTTACAGATATGCATAGGAGAGGGGTAGATTCGCGCACTGTCCGCGAACGCGATATTCCAACTATCGAAACGTCTAATCCTCCGCAAACATAGGGGGTGCTCCGCTGATATGTCTGTTCGCGCTTTAACCACTTTGTTCGCGTTGAAATGTTTTTGTTCGCGATCGATGCAACCTATACAGGAAGGACCACCCGGTCCTTTTCCTTCCCGAATCAATAGATGTGAACCGAATTTCCGCGGGAATTCCTCGGATCAATAATTTAAACACGAGCATTCGCACCTTGTTGCTGGTGTGCAGCTTTCTAAGCCCGTTCGCGGCAGCTTTTACGATCTTCAGCATTCTCGTACCCTTGAGGATATCTTCGGTGTTCAGAAAGGGAAGCTGTTTCGACGCAGACGAAAGGTTCGCTGGGAAAGTGCTACGGCAGGGAATCCCGGGGGTTAACACTACTCTCGGATTCTCTTGGAATCTGCGGAACACGCACGCGTGTATGGTCTCGGAAACGGTGACGCGAGAGCGCGACCCTCGACGTCCCGACAACTAGAAGGTACTGGTGTATTAAGGGTCGCGGGGACGTCTAGCAACGGGGAGACCAGCCGTCGTATAGGGCACATGCGCGATTTAGACGTCGCGACGCGCGGCACGGCGTCGAGAAATTCACAGCGGGCCGAATCGTTTTCTTGTCGCTCGCAATCACGATGGTAACACGAAACTCGTTTCGTATTTTAGTGGAGAGTTGGTCGGTAACCTCGTCATTTTCCTCCCTCGGTAGAACGATCGAATAATGGAAACGATCCGATCGTCGACACAAGCTCGAGCAGTTCTCGTATCGAAATCCTTCTTTCGGCTGTTGAACGTAAAACCGTCCACGCAAATTGGGTAATCGAAATACAAATGAAATCTGGAACATTTGTCGTTTATTGTCTTGCAGTTATCGATTCGTAATACATACATTGTACACGAACGGTGAACGCTTATGTATAGTACACGTTAAACACCTTACTGCCGTTAACCAGTCTATCGTATCATGTGTCGTAACAGATCATTGAATCCTGAGCGCAAAATGTTGGAGACGGATAACGAGTAAAAACTGGGAAAGTTAAAACTTACGTAAAACGATATACATACATATCTAAGTACATTATATCCTTGCCGTTCGAGTACTCCTAATATCGTACATCTAACGATAGCCCTACGGTTACGCGAGAACAGAACTCGCGTCAACTCTACGCGATCACGAGTCAACGTGTTCCATTCGTCGATCCGTCTGCAAAGGCTACATAAGCGCGGTTTCATTTATCTATCGGAAAGTATTCGAAAGGAGCTGTGATGGTCGTGCTGCTCCTATGCCCGCGATCGATAAATAAAGCGTCAGAGATTCCTCGTTGACGAGAATTAAGTGCTTACAATCGATTGTGCGCAAAACGCTAATTAACTCCTAAATTGTACGATAGTCGAAGAAGACGTCAAGACAGTTTAAGATTACAACGAATAATTACAAATAGGTATTATTATAACTTACATCGATGTTTAATACTTTGGTTTTCATTTAACATTCTACCAGGTAATCTACGAACGTACTTGTAAGTACGTGTGGCTCGACAGCATAATCGAAGTAATCTAGTTTGATTTTCCGTATAAAAAATTTATTTTCAACTCCGATTAAAAACCTTTATTGCACTCTTTTATGCACAGGTGACGGTACACAAACTACGCGATGCCAACGCACGTATAAATCCCCATTTAAACTTTTCCCAATAGTTTCGACGGATTTTTTTACGCAGTACTCGAAAGTTGAGGATCGAAGCATCATCTGTTTTGGCCTCTGTGTTGTTTGTATCTGTACAGTTTTATTCTCTCACAGTCTGGAAGACTATCACACAATTGTACCAATACAATGGCGGTCAATGTAAATCTTAAATATTCATTTAGAAAATAGAATATAGAAAAGTAGTTCTTCTTTTGTAACCGTTACATGTGTCCGTAAGTGTATCGTATTTAAGGCTCGAACTGTATAAATAAGGATGATTGTCATGATCGCAATTCGATATATTTACAGATGATAATTTGAATGAAGGCGATTCGAACGACGGTATAAATAGGCTGTGACAATGTCGTGTGCTCGGTTACGTTGTAAACCGTTAGCGATGCGTTCCACTTTGCATTCATCGAGTCGACGGAATCAAACATTATTAAAATGTAAACTCCAACTCGTTAGATCCTGAGATAAAAGGCAGAGGTTAAAAGGTACACTTATTGTACATACGTACCTACGAAATTTATGTACGTGTATACTAGAAAATATTACGAGTCTCGATATCCTTTGAACGTGATCGACATGTTAAAAAAGTGCTAATTAAGTAGCGCAGTGTAGAAACAAGTCGCAGTCCAATTCACAAGGAGTCGCATAGACTGTGATTAAGTAAAGCTTGAAAATCAGTAAAATATCGGGAAACACGATCGTTTGTCCCTCAATCTCCCCTACCTTAAAAGTAACAACTATAACATAAGATCATCGAAACATAATAACTATGTACTAACAACGGCCGACGTTCGTGTAAAAATTGAAGCCGACGGGAAACTCGCGGGACATCGATGAGATCATTCTGCAATCATACCTATCGGTTTCGAATACGAGAAGTATCCGGCAACATATCGAGGGTCCACCACCCTTATCGATTTCTCAATTTCTAATTAATTCTCTCTCTCTCTCTCTCTCTCTCTCTCTCTCTCTCTCTCTCTCTCTCTCGCTCGGTGTAGATCCCACGAACGTAAGCCTGCTAACGATACCTCAAATTACCGTGTCCTGATAAGCAGGCGGTCCGCTAAGAACAAACTGTCTCTGGCTCTGTCTGACGATGTCTGTTCTGTTGGGCACTTGCGGCGTCGCTCTGACGCCATGGTAATTGCTATAACTGGACCTGGCGCTGGCTGGTCGATTATTGTACAAATCATCCAAATCTTCGCCGTTCAGACTTTGAGTGCTGGTCTGCTGGAAAGTTGGATTACTCTGACCCTGCCACTGCATAGGGTTCAACTCGTTCGGCTGCCAGTTATCGGTAAGATTCCTGGTGGAGCTGCTCGTCTCCCAGTTAGGATAGTTCTGGTTCGCGTAGTTGCTCGTGTTGGAATAATTGTTGGTGGAATCCTGATTCCACAAAGTGGGAGAGGACACGGCCATATTCACGGCTTCCGGTTGCCAATTCGAGTTTCTGTCCCTGTCCCAGCCCGTCGAAATTCGATCGTAGTTGAGCGTACCCTGGGACAAGGAGTTCACGTTCTGATTGGTCAGATTGCTGCTGGCCGTCGTGTTAGCATAGAGACTCTCCTGATGATCCATGATGCGATTTACGGGATTTTTTCTCCGTGACTGCCTGACCGAACTCCTACGATTGGATCTTCGTGTTCCGTCTCGGGAAATCACCGACCTTCGTTTCACTCTGCGAGGAGTCATCGGTTTCGGGGAGACGGTATCGTCGTGTACCGGTGGCTCCGGTTGAGAGTACTCGATGCTGTACAGCGGCCTCGGCTGCTTTTTCTTCCTTTTAGTTTGTACTGTGACGGAAACAGAGCGAAAGTCTGTGATCACAAGAGAACGACTCGACGGGCGCGGATAGGTTTGCACCTGTATACGGTTTGTTTGTTCGTTCGTATGCCAGGTGCAAACTTTTCAGCTAAACGAACACCATTCGGTTGAATCGATACACATGTAAGCAACCGTAGCATGTAAGTACATACATACATACATACACGGTGAACAAGTGAATCAACTCTGAAGGTGTTTCGGTGATTATGTAGCACGTCCTGGTGGTCGGCTGTTCTTTTCAATTCGCAAATTATCGAAGAAACATCATCGTACTCGAAGAATTCGTAAATAAGAAAGCGCAATTACTGCTTTCAGCGTACAAGTATCTAATTACCCAGACCCCCGTTAGTTTAGAAACACTATGCGTAACATCGAGCGACGACAGTACATATTTAGTCGTACAGAGATTTGAAATGAACGATCACCAGAAGAGTAGTAACGAGTAAACGAAATAGTTCCCCGAAAACCGCAGAGGAGATTGTTAGAGAGGGAAAGAAAGTAATAGAGTGGGGGTTAATAAATAAAAAAGCAAGCAAGTAGTAGCATTGCACGTTTATTGTTGCCAATGAACTGCACCAAGGTAAATCATATGATACAGTGAATAAATATAAAACTAAGAGCTACGCCTTTAAACGAAGTATATACGTGACTACTGTACAAGCTTCGAACGAAGGGAGAATTGCACTACGTTTGACGATCTGAACCTAAAGTGACACGTTCAAGGGTCAGGTGTATCATTCGATTAAACGAGCTACCATAATACACTGAGCTGTGCGAGTACCATAAATAAATTACGTGAAATGCATACACATCGATTTAAAACGTACACATATATACATTAAGTGTCAACCGAGCCACACTTATAATACATACTAATTGCGCTAAGTATGCCCGTTAAGAAGCGGGGAAAAAGAAAAGAAAAAAAAAGAAAAAATGCACACTTATAAAGTATGCAATCGATAAGTAACGATGATTTGATAGAGTCTACTTAAGATTTAAGGAAAACTTAGACATTAAGCAGGTTGTTTTACAACTATCGAACGAGGCCAATAATGGTATCGGTTAAGTGTGATGAAGGAACGTTGTATAATGTACGTATCTGGTTCGTGTACATTAGCGTTACAAAGTTAAAATGTGTTTACAGTGGGCTTCGAAAGACAGAAACTGAGTTCTGTTTCTCTATTGCCGATACTTCCTCTCCGTGTAGCTCGACAAATTGAGCGTTACGCGTATTAGATTTTCTATCTATTATTGGATAACGTTAAGTATTCGTTTATCGATCCTTGTGCGCAATTCAATAGCATTAGCAACTTAATTGCCAAACCCAGCAGTCATTTAGAGCAGCGATTACGTGTGTGTTTATTCGTGATTATCGTGTGTGCAGTATTTCAGAAAAGAACTGTCGGTGAGTGAAATACATTCATTGAATTTAAACGTTCGAGAGAATTTCGTTTTATCACATGCCCTTATTCATCACACTCGACTGATAAATTTTCATTGGCATTTGCATCTGCAATTCATGAAACATCCCGCGTAACCAGTGCAGTCTATTACGAACTGAATAACACCTCGTTTCATCGAAAATAAGAAACTTTCACGTACAATCGAAAAATGTTAAATTAGAATGTTAAATTCGGTCATTTCGAATTTTACATTTTATATCTGATAATCTATGGAATGTCGAAAATTAGCTCCGAACATATAGAACAGCGATAAAAATAAAACTAAAGAAATCTTTCTTGAACAGGTAATAACCAATTGTACGCGTACATTATTCTATGTATACGTATATGTACGTATAGTCTCGATATGTATACCGTAGTCGTTTTTCCGAAGGGAAAAAAAAACCACATGAAACAGTCATTCGATTGGACTTAAAATAGTAAAAAGAGAACTAGCATGCACTACTCAGACACATTCGGAAAATCATAATAATCTTCGCAGCACCGAATAAACAGAAACAGTTCATCGTCACGATACAACAAACTCCTTAAATGCAGCCTACAATTCCATCGAGTGCCACTTTACAAGCCAGTCGTTAAAAATATCGTTACAAAAATGATAAAAAAAAACACACACACACACACACGAATTATGAACGAAGCATCAAACAATTCTACAACATTCGTGAACTTTTACGTTAAAGTTTTATTCGGGTCTAATATCTAATATATTTAAAAATTCATCGTTAAGTACAAGTTTAAAATGTGCAATTGATAAAATCGCGAATGTACTGAAACATGATTCATATTTCTATACGTATCACAGTGCGCGTATCCGTATAAGTTCGTGTTGTTCAACACAACATGACTATACGTATGTTTCACGATCGAATCACCAACAAATTCGTTGTTGTCAATAAATCTTCGAAAAAAAAAAAAAAACCCATTAATATGAATACGAAAGCGTACGAAACTAATGAGCACACAATCCGATCAATCTGGGTCAGTCAAAGTATTTTAAAACATGGCCAATACGTATTAGCGTAACGTTACAGGGATGATAAAATTATGTTTATACTAATGTGAATCGAAGATGGATAAGGTATCATAAACTAGCTACTCTAATCGTTCTATCTATTTGGCAAGTATAGGAATTGTGTTACCCTCAGAAGTTTTTTTACGGGAGACCGTCAATATTGTATACGCAGAAATTCAGTCGGATGCGTTTAAAACTAGAAAGAAATTTGACGCGAGTCCCTAGAAAATAACCCAGAACAAACACTAGCCTTAATTCGAAAGTTAAAAGTTACTGGCGTACAACGACAACGGTCTACTGTCTCTTTGAGACCTACAAGGACTTTCTTGTTTGTTTGTATTTTGTTGATTCTCGATCGCCAATCTAGGATCCGAATGAAACGATCGGATAGGTTGTTCCCGGATGTGATCCGTAAAGACTCTAGGCTTGTTAGAGGTTTTCGCTTGCCTTGTTGCGGCGGGACGAGATTTTATTCGCGGCGATACAACGGGACTGTACTTTGACGAATGCGGATAATACAACTTGTTCTTCTGATACTTCAATTTAGCTTCACTATCTAAGGAATCATACTCGTCGCACGGAGACACCGGTCTTTGCAAATGATCTAAAGGGTTCGAGTAGTCGTTGGAGTAATCTATGTACTTCAAATCACGATCAGAAATGTTGCTTCTGGTGGTTTTAATTGTGTCGTTTCGAAAACTATTTTTACTTCGTCCCGAGCTATTAATGAATTTTTCGTTGTGCTTTGAAAGGCTGGTATCGTGAGAAACGGATTGATGAGAGCTAACAGTGTCTGCTGCGTAATTTTGATTTGAATTTTTGTGAGGGTGGGCAGGTGATGGAAGAGCCGAGTAGCTAACGTACATAGGATGTAACGGTGTGTGGCCTGCCAACCCGAAGTCATCACCTCCCACAAAGTCAACTGAAATATGACGCAGAATCCATAGTATTAGATGAGATGTGTTGTATCTCTGGTTTGGACGTTTCTTCTCGTGAGACTTTACTTATTGCAGTATTTAACGAATTGTCGAAGTACTCGTATAACTGTCGCACCCGTAAAAGAAGCAATTCTTGCATTAAAGTATCCATGCCACTTGAATAGTTTCACTGAATTACGTGAAATAAAATGAACGCGAAGTTTATGCTATCCAAGATGCAAAACGTTACTTCACGATATAGAGTGGCATTCTTGGTGACAATATCAAATATTCAACAATTTCAAGGTAAAATGAGAGTCTACTGTATAATCGAGATCTACATACAAAACCATTTTACTCGTGCTGAAAGGAGCAGATAAAAAATGCGTGCAAACAATGAATCAGGCAAAGCACTTACCAAAATGGAGGATCAAATCCACCAATGAAATCAACTGTAACCGATAACCCTGTTTTCAAGCAATAATGAATCCCAACATGTTATTTAAAAGAGAAAAGTATCTATCTTGGCGTTTTCTATAATACTATACGAGAGTCATGTTTTGGAAATATGTATATGGAGATACAATGTAATCCCAATGATTTATTTCTCGAACTTTCGTTTACCGATACCATTGCCAGTAACACCCAAACTTACCACCAGCCAATGTCCCGAAATAAAAGTCCGGATAATTTCACGCAACAAACTAAATTCTATATTGATCCGACAACAGCGATATTTGAAAGAATTATTTGTAAATTTAATACTTACAGCTATCATCTTCTTCCAGGAAAACTTTACTCAAACAAATACCACCCACGAACGCGATAAACTGAAATACATAAGAAATTATTTTAAACGAGAAAACATAATTTTTTTTTGCAAGTGCAAAAAATATACATACACCTAAGATACATTGTGTAGATGCGTGTAAAATTTCAATTACTTCATAATCTAGAACACAGTCAGTAACATTTGTAGGCCGTGCAGGTCTGAATAATTCGGGCTCTGTAACGTCATAAATAGCTTTGCAGCCCGGACCATTTACATGCCACCATGAGAAACTGCCTGTACCAAGGTTTAAAATATCGCTATTCTGAAAATTTGTGAAAATCATTAGAATTGAGGGCATTTTTAAAAAATTTTACCGATAAACCTGTACACGGTAACTGAAATCATACCTTGTCCAATGCACCCACATTGAGGTAAAAGCATATCATAAATATATTCCACCCCAACCATAGTGTATTCCATACGCAGTACTGAAAAGAAATTAGCAATGCTTGTTTAATAATAATACGTGTATATTCGTGCAATATCTTTACTAGGCTGACAATGTTGTTTGTACTTACAGATACAATATATTTAGGCCTGTACTGAAAGGCCCCAAAAAAACCTAAGATCACAAATATAATATTGAAGAAATTGACCAGTATTGGGGCCCACATAAAACCCAAAAAGTCGAAAACTTGACGCTCTATGGTAGTAATCTGTAAAAGAAAGGTGAAAAATGTAATTTTCATTATATATACAATAACAGAATTAATGTGAATTCGTTGTCACAGGAGAAGTATCTAATTCCTTCTGTTTCTGTGAACTCTTTCTTGGACGCATGCATAATTTGTTCGAATTGTCTTGTTCTAAATACTGAATTAACTAACCCACTTTAAGTCACAGGCAGTTCTGAGTTTAAATCAACTCAATTGACTGCTTTTTCTTACTTCTCGCAAAAAATCCCAAAGCATCCTTTTGCTCTAAATACTTTTCTTGCTAGAATATACTTATCCCGTATCATTTATTAAAATATACGAGATCAGTTCCAATAAAATGGTCAGCTTTGGTATTTAGCAGAAAAAAGGAATAGAAAGTAGTTGTCCATATAGTTTCTATAGGAATCTCACCAGAGCAAAGATAAACCACGCGACCCACGGATCGATTAAACGATACGATACGATACGATACGATACGATACGATACGATACGATACGATAATGCAACAAGTATACGATGTTTCATCGGGCCATAATATTATCGATAAAACTGTTCGAAACTGGTTCACCGTTTCTGCAAAGCGACGGTAACACGATTTTACGGGTGAATCACGCTCGGAGGATGAAAATGGAAAGCAGATTGTGAAACTCGATTCAAGGAAAGAAGGTATCTACTTAGTTAAATAGGTATTATACGATTCGATTGAGCTAGAAAACTTGAAGAGTCTCCGCTTACGAATCGCGTATCACGAACGCGACAATAATAATGATAGA